TTATTCTTCTCGGCCATCACTTGTGCCTTTGGTGTTATCACCATGTGCACAGCCGCTATTACCAACTGGCAACAGATGATAGCCCTTAGAGTCCTCCTCGGAATCTCCATGGCTGGCATCTATCCAGGGTTAACCTACCTTATTTCAACCTGGTATACTCGCCATGAACAGCAGCTCCGATTCGCTCTGTTGCAGTCTGGTGAAATCATCATCCTCGCCACCGGCTCCATCGTCAACTTCGGCTTGAATCACCTCGACTACCGAAATGGCCTTCGGGGCTGGCAATGGATGTATCTTGTTCAAGGCTCGGTCACTGTCTTTCTCGGGGTGATCACTTACTTCTGGATGATCGACTTTCCGGACCAATGCGAGAACTCTTTTTATTTCCTCACGGAGGATGAGAAGAGCCTTGCAATTTCTCGAATCAACGAAGACCGGCACGATGCCGGGAAACCCGAGCCATTCAGCCCGTCTGCTATTTTGATACATTTTCTTGACCCGAAGCTATACGCCTTTTGTGTGCTATTCTTCTTACTCAACTTGGTATCCACAGCTCTCTCGTACTTCTTACCAATCATACTGCAGAGTGGCATGGGTTTCAACTCCAACAAGGCAATTCTATTGTCCTCTCCCCCATACTATTATGCGGTATTTCCTGTTTTGCTTTCTTCGTTCATTGGGGACAAGTACAGGGTTCGAGCACCAGTCATCATTTTCAATGCAACTTGCCTAATCGCGGGGTTCTGCATGTTAGGTTTCAGCAGTCAAGTAACGGTGAGGTATATCGGCACGTTTCTGGCCACAGGAGCCTACATTAGTAACTGGGCTGCGCTTAATGCTTATCAAGCCAACAACATAGTCGGTCAGTGGAAGCGCGCCACAGTGGCGGCAGCCATTTCTGCCTGCAATGGTTTGGGAGGCATAGCTGGCAGTTACATCGTCCGCCAACCAGAAGCTCCACGATATTTGACCGCAATATGGGTGAGCATTGGGAGTCATGTTTTGATGATCATCCTGGTTGCGGCTTGTACAGTGTGGTTCTGCGTCGCAAATCGCGAAGCTAAGAGGAAGGGAAGTCTGATCGAAGGGGTGTCGAACTTTCACTACACCTATTGACACGAGCTCCCACGGACCTTCGCCGGATGGTCAACTACCGGCCATTTGCAAGTTGCAGGGGCTGCTGTTTCCGCTACGTGAAAGGAATTCTTCTCTTTCCAAGCCTGCGAGCTAGATACTAGCCATCGTCCTGAAGCAGAACAGGTAATAGACGTCTTTGTGGCGAGCAAGTTTGCCGCCGCTTTGCTCGAAGGCAGGCCGTGCGTTGCAGTCTCGGGCAGTATTATTTTTACCTCACGCCAGCATGGACGGCCCACAATACCGACGTTTTGGCGATATCCTGCGAGACCATTCTTCTGGGAGTTCCCCGAAATTGCCTTGTCAAAGCCTTTGAGGACAAACAAGTCTCCCGTAAACTCAGTATCGCTATTTGCCGAGATGTCGTCTCGATAAAGACATAATCCACCTCGAGGGTCATTGCTCGGATCCCGAATAGCCACGTTGGCAGCTGCACACCAAAGGGGACGCCTGATTGAGTGTATGAGAGTGTACTGAGCATTCTATACTTCTAGAATTCATCTAGAGGGGGGGATAGAGGGTCGGGCGACTTCCAACGACATGCAATATCCGGACAACGATTTTCGTCCTCCTTTTCGCCTTCGACTTGTCATTGCCCGGGAGAACTAGCAAGGGCTCCCAAACACCTGGCGAATATTGTGTTCGTTTGGAGAAGTAGTGCAACACAGCGCAGGGTTGTCTCTTCTCGGAAATTACATCTTGACCTTCTCCCCGTCGTCGCTCGAACTTGCATCCCTGACATTACTATTCTGCGCTTCGGCCGTCTTCCCCCCGGTTACAACGTGCTCTTCCTTCCCCTCCAAAGTCATCCCCGTGGGCTGATCACCGTGATTGTGCTCAACATCGTCGTACGGTCTCCAGAAGTCCTTCTTCCCTTTGGCCGCCCTGACGAGCCAAGGAGGCAGCAGTCCGCCTTCGATCTTGTAGGTCCAGTAGTCTTTATACTCCTTGTCGGCGGGTTTGATGCGGTTGCCCGAGATCTTCTCGACAAGCCAGACAACGGTGTTCAGAACGATATAGCTTATGATGCCGGCGATGAGGCCGTAGGCGATGGAATAAGTGAAGGGCATAATGGCAATGGTTAAGAAAGCAGGGATTGCATCGCCGATGTAGCGCCAGTTGATGTCGGCGGCGGCTTTGGCCCTGGTAGGAGAGAGAGGACAGGTGTTAGATGCAATTCTGTCGGAGAAACGTGGAGTGGGGCTGTAGAAAAGACTTACATGAGTGACCCGACAATAATGAGCACGCATCCGGTGGCGTATGGCGGGATCGACGCGAAGATGGGTGCGAAGAAGATGGAGATGAAGAAGCAGATTCCCGTTGTGATGGCAGTGAGACCTGTCGCGCCACCTTCAGAGATACCGGCGCCCGATTCGATGTAGGCCGTAACTGGAGGTGTGCCGAACAAAGCACCAATCGAGATACCGAATGCATCGACCAGATAAGCCACAGCCGAACCCTCAAAGTCCTGAGTCTTCTCATCGATGGCGCCGCAAAAGCGCGCCATCGAGTAGAGGGTACCAGTGCAGTCGAGAATGTCGACATATAGAAAAGTTATAAATGCCAGTCCAAATTGCCCGCCGTAGCCCGATATGTTCCACTCCTGGACGGTGAGGATTTTCTGAATTGGGTGGAACGTAACGACCTGCTTGAAGAAGTTGAACATGCTGTCGCCTAAATCGGTGTATGGGAAGTATGTTACTAATAACCACCTGTCAGCTCCGAGCACTTCCCCTCAGTGGATAAATCAGGAAGCGCATCGTCATTCAGCAAATAATACAGGTCATGGACGACTTACCTTCGGTCCCTCGAGGCCACGAAATAATGCTGACGAGCAAGATCCCAAAGATGATGGCGCCCTTGACACGGAAGAGCATGAGCAAAACCGTGAAGAATCCGCCACAGAAAATACCGATCCACATTGTTGGGTTGCGCATTTTGTACGCGGCGGGACAGACACCAGTCTCGTCAATATACTCCGGCTTACAGCCGGCTAATTCGAGAGGAGTAGCCTGCGCGCCTGTAACGGCCCCAATGCCGGCGCTGTATGTCAAGCCAATCAAAGTCAGATATAACCCAATGCCGACTCCGGTGGCAAGCTTGATAGACGCTGGAATGGCCCGGGCAAGCCACTGCCGAAGTCCAAGGATGGTGAGACCGACAAACACAAATCCTTCGACAAAAACGGCTGTAACGGCGACTTGGTAAGGCACAAGGCCAGATCCGTGGTATCCGACCACAGTGTATGCGAAGTAGGCGTTCAAGCCCATCCCAGGGGCTAAAGCTATCGGCATGTTTGCAAACAGGCCCATGCAGAATGTGGTGAGGGCAGAAATTGCAGCGGTGGCTGTGACCAAATCTCGTTGGACTTCGGCAACGCATATCATGTAGGCCGGGTCGCTGTCGCATAGATCGGGACTATCCGGCGGACAGACGCAAGTACCACCAGACTGCGACACAATCGTGGCGTTGACGGAAATGATGTATGCCATGGCGAAGAAGGTTGCCAGTCCAGCACGGACTTCGGTGAAAAAGTAGGAGCCTTTCCGTTCTTTGGGATGACCGGAGCCGTCAAGGCGGAAGCGCCTGCCCACGAAAGAGCGAGCGACCGCCATGTTGGCTTTGTGAATCATCTCGTTGATACCCATGATGGTGGCCAAGCTGAGAGGCTGTAACCGGGAGACAGAACAAGACGTCCGAATAGAAAAGTGACAGGTCCGTGAACGAGTGGTTCATCGCAAATATATGGGAAATGGACTGATGTAGCTCTCTCGGAATCGTCGATGCTGAATGGCCGAGCTAAAGAGGAGTTCTAGAGATAAAGGTCTCGTGTATGGGCTGCGATAATTGGAATCGAGACCCGAGCGGAAGCCGTCAGTGGGCGGAGGCGAGTATAGCCAAGCCAAGAGGCGGGTTCCGCTTAACCCAATATCTCGATCGTTCGTCTTGGCCACCCTTGGCGAGGGCGCCAGAAGGCTTTTTAGATGCTTGGCCCATGATATGAACTCCCCGGTCCGTTGGTCAGTTGCTTTTTATCGTATCGGAGAGCGGCGATGGACTCGATCTTCCCAATGTCCCCCAGACTCATGCCAGGTTGCTTCTCGCGAGAGATCCGATGCCGAAGTCTCCGGTCCAGGGTTCGAATTGTATCGGGACGAGGCGATCACCTAAATTGATACGACAATAATACCCCAATCTTGAGTTCACGCTATTCAAGCCTCGTCCACGTCCCAGGCTGAGGTGAGAGGAGTAGGGTAACGGGTGTCGGCACCTACCTGTATCCTTTCCAGCACTGTCAAACATCTGCGATGGCTTGCAGAGAAGACTGGCTATTCCCAGTGCTTGATCCAGGCACCTGGAGATTGAATCGAAGTTCAAACTGAGATAACACCTTACAAACAGACCCACGCTGCCGAGGAAGCCTGTTGTAGTCGAGGCGGCCAAACATGCATTGAGGAAACCAGACGCCACAAGTCTTTATCAATCTCGCATGACAAGATGAATAGACATGGTCTAATCTGATGCTGAACAACGCATATCGACTTGCGAGAGGTTCATGTAGAGAATGGGAGAATTTGCAATCGTAAACTGCTGATGCGGTTGGGAACTCAAGGCTTCCTCGCCAGCGTGTCGGGTGTTTGCGCGTTTGTTTCGCACAGTGCGCGGTGTTCATTTACGTCTAACCAGTTCAGGGTTAGTGTGTTTATCACGCTAAACCCAAGTAATCTGAGACTTCAACACGATGGTAGATTCAGATTCACTGCGCCGCGTGCTTCGAGACTTACGCCTTTCAAAGCTCTCGTCCTTTGTCTCCTCGCACAGCTTTTCCCTCAACGCGCCGCACTCCCTGCTCAGCCGAAGAAATCATGGCTGCATCAAAGCATTCTTCATCCTCATCCGCCGCGTTAAACACCAACCATAGGTGGGCGACTCTCGAACCGCGGGTGAAACAAGTATCACAATCCGTAATCCGCAAGAAATGGAGGCCTCTGCCCGCTTCGTCGCAGGAGAAGGTCAGGCAGATTCTGATGAATTTAAAGGCGAAGAGATCTGGTGCCGGTGGAAACGGCAGGATCCCACCAATTGGCAAGTTGCGCAAGAAGGCGACGGCGGCCAGTATCAGGGAGGAAGAGTATGAGAAGGCGGTGGAAGAGGTTGCTGATAAGTATGCTGGCCGATACATTTGTACCTCGTACCAAACCCAGTTGCCCTGTCCTTCCCTTCATCTCCACCCCTAACGTCTTCTCTTCCGCCGGCGATGCCCCCCGCCTAACCCTCATCTACACTCCCAGACTCCTCGCTCGCCTACCTCGAATGCCATTCCCACCTACAAACACGTCCACAGTCGACGATTCGCCGTTCGATCTTTCTGCGACTCTCGCCCGCATCACCACTCTCCAATCCCAGTTAACGACAAACCTTCAGACGCAACACCTTCTCCGCCGGCAGATCAATCGGGAGAAACTCGCTCTGAAGAGGGACCGCGCTCAGCTGAAAATGCTGGAGGACGGATTCAAGGGGAGCGAGGCGTTGAGGCGGAAGAAGGAGCGGGGCCTGCATCCTTTGGTCAGGGACTTGCACAAGGAAGAAGAGACTGAAGACGGCGCCGAAGCTGAGGAGGCGAGAGAGGAGATTGAGCGCGTCAACAACATTGCAGGGATATGCCTTACGACGAAGAAGTTTTCTACCATGTCTCGGTCGAAGACCCTCCCATCACCTACTCTCAGCCTCGACTCAGGAATCGACCCTGAACTGAATTCTCTGCTCACTCAATTGCGGAATCATCTCCTCAGCATGCAGAATAATACGGCAAGCATGCAGCCTGTGTTAGCGGCTATGGATGAAGCGAAGATAGTATTGGATAAATTTGCTGCAAGACGTGGGATCCGAAATAGCCCCGACAACACATGATTTATGTAGCTCCCGGACCACCATCCAAGCAAAACCAAAGGTTACAAGCCACCCAGATCCGTCGACCTCATATCACACCATATGGTATCGTACTATCATGTCGTTGCCGTCCGTCCGTCCATCCATCCTGAGTTTTGACATGTTTCCGCTCATACATACATATATAAATACAACCTACAACGAGCGAATCTCCAACCCAGTGCCCAGGATGGCCATATCGAGGATGCCGGAGCTGTGGCGGCCCGGCCCGAAGCGGCGCATGGCGAACCAGAGGAAGAAGACGGCCAGCATCTATGGCAACGCAAGGGAGACTCCAGAGGTTAGCGAGGGGATGCCAATGCTCGACATTCGTTTCGCGCCTTCAACTGAGTTGCGGGGAGTTGAAAGTGTCTGTGAAAGTTGAGGGATGGCGTCGTGGGGTGTTGGAGGAGGAATATGCGGGAAGTTAGGGAGGAAAGGAGGGTAGGGAGGGAAGGGCAGGTACAGGGGGTATGGAGGTAAGGTAGGCTAAGGTAAGATAAGGCAGCAACATTACCAGAGGCACCGCAGCGACGAAATACCACTTCAAGCTGGGATACTGGCGGAACGCGTCGACATTCATGCCGAACGCGCCGACCAGGAATGTAAGCGGCAGGAAGATGAAGGTGATCCAGCTCAGCCGCCACAGGCTGGCGTTGAGTTCGAGGGATTGCTTCGAGTCCCGGATCGTGACGGACTTGTACATCTGCAACAGTCAAACCAATCCCTCTTGGTCCGAGCGCGCCGTGGCTGGTGATGTACGTATGGAAGAAAGGGGGCCAAGGGGAGACAGGAAAGGAGGAGTGCCGTACCAGGTCAATCATATGTTCCAGCGGCTCCAGATAATCCGTCCCAATATTCTCAGCCAGAACCTCAAAGTCGTCCAGCAGTGGCGTCAACCATGTACTGCTACTACGGCTACCGCCACTGGCCCTTCTGCCATCGCGTCCACTACCGGGTTCTCGGTCTTTCCTTTCGGCTCCGCCGCCGCCGTCGTGATAATGTCTCTCCGTCTCTGCAAAGACGGCAAAGTCGTCCTGCACGGCCTCGATAACCTTGGAATGCCGGTTCACCAGCTTCAGCATGTTGTGCAGCCGCTGCGACATGGCCCAGACGTCGCGGGCGCGGGAGGAATCCGACGGGTGGGCATAGATGTGGTCTTCCAGCGATGCGTGCGGTTCGTGGATCAGCGCGATCTGGTCGCGCCAGAGCTGGTACAGGCCGTCGAAGATGTGCGAGAGAACGGCTTGGAGCGTGGGCGTCGAGGTACACACTTTTCGGTCCAAAATTGGCTTCTCCTCCTCGCCATCGCCGGGACTAGGAGTCGCAAAGGGACCTGGATTCAGACCCAGGAGGACATTGGCGCTAACGATCTCGCCGGCCTCGCCGGAGGAATATTCGCAAATGATAATGGTGTCGCGCTTGGCCATGTCATGCAGATGGCGTGAACCGGAGTTGAAGCGCGTGACTCTCGGGCCGGGTAGAGCTTGCGACGAGGCTCGTTGCATGTAGACTGAGATCCGCTGCCGGTAGAGAGAGGCCGTGGTGGTTTGCGAAGGTTGACTGTGCTGTTGATGATGAGGTGGAGGAGTTCCCTGCCGAGGCACCACCAAGGATCCAAAATCCAGCCCGAATGCTGTGCAGATGACCCCTCGAGCGATATCGAACGCCGGTCGCCATCGAATGGCCTTGTGTGACGCCCGCCGTGTGTCGCGGTCATCTTGCATCCAGTCACGAAAGCTGCGCTCGCCCGTCTCGGTGCTGGAGCCGCTGATGCCGAACGCATTGCTCAGATAGTTGACTGCTTCCTCATTGTTGCAGACGTAGACTAACCGGAGCACGGAACCAGGCTGGTCGCCCTCTTCCAAGTGCTTTCGGAGACTGGAAACGCTTTCGCATAGCTTTGGAGGCGCGCAGAGTAAGACACCTTGATCGTCTTTTGATAGTAGGGTTAGGAATGCGGAAGAGAAAACATGGTACCGAGTTGCCTAGCTCAATGGATCGTGACTTACCCACGTCGTATTCCAAGACATAGAGAGCTCTCCGCTTGAACAGCGGAGCAGGTTTCTGGGAGAGGATGGCCGTCGCATGCGTCGTAGCCAGACCGGCCGCATACTTGAGGCCGTTGTACGCCCCGGGCTTGATGGCAGTCTTGATCCCAAGCCATCTCCTCACACGGTCAATGGGGTGATTGGCGCCGCCGCGGCCTCTGGCGTCGGACGCTGAGCGCGTGATGCGGATCTGTGCCTCTTCGGCATTGATGTCGGTGTTGACCCGTCTGAAGACGGCGCCGCGCTGCTCGATCTCGAGTTGCTGCTGCGGGTTCGGTTCGGGAAAGGGGTTCTTGAATTCGAGGGAGTCCTCGACGACGCTGTATTTGTGGTCGTCGTCGAAGGCGTCCGAGAAGCCCCTGACGCGCTGGCCTGGGTGGATGTCCAGCGGACACGGGAAGGTGTCGGCATGGGTCAACGAGGCCGCAACGTTCTTGGAAAGTGGTGGCTTGGAGAAGAAATCCTGCACAAACGATGTCGAGATGTCTTCTTCCTGGACCAGCGGCGGCCGCAGTGATCGACCCTCTTCTATGCGGATCGAGAGCTCGGCGCCCCTTTGATGTCGATCTGTCGAGTATTTCCTTTGTTTGATGGACCTTGTCGAAAAGGTTGAAGACCTTCTCGAAGCCATTTACGGGTTTCAAGCTGGCCGTTGTTGTTTCAGAGACGGCTCTAGATACTGGGTATTACTAGCATCTTCTTGAGAACTGTTTCGAATGGTTAGCTTTTGCTCCTCGTTTTTGGCGCCAACGAGGCTGGCACGGAGGAGGTGACTTGAAGGGGCCTGGATTCTAGAACCTCGACTGTACGAGGACCAAGTCCGTGAAACCCCTGTCACGGGCACGCTCCTGATTCGATCAAGAATCACCATCGCATAAGAGCCTTCCACCCTACAGCTAGCCACGGGACTAGTGAAGGATTGGAGTCTCCCGTAAAAGGCAAAAGCAGATGAATTATGAGCCGAATGTATTGGTGTGCTCGAGAGACATGGGTCGGCCTGCTATGACAAAATCCCCCCCCCAGGGTATCCAACAATGTCCATGGTCTGAAGATGATCCCTCTACCTCGTAAACAAACCGCCAACCCCGCCGGCTACGAGTCCTGAGGTCCCCAGATCATGGGCACTGAGCAGACGGCTTCAATGTCTTCCGTAAGCCCTCCGAGGAAACTCATCCCAGAGGTGTTTCATCTCCGTGACGTCCAGCCCGTCTTCATCCATCAACTGTGCTTGAAAGTCAACATCTTCTCCATCCATCAACATCCGAAAGTGTCCATTCACCCACCCCTCTCGGTCGAATTCCATGGATCCGTCACAACCGCGCCCAAATTTCACATTGCCGTCGTTGTCATCCTCCGACCTCCACCCAAATGAGATTGTGCCACCTGTGGTGATGCGAGAGATGTCGTCCGCGTGGAGAACCCCGATTTTGGAACCCACATTGAAGCGACCCCAGAGCTTCTGCTGTCTGTGGTCGAGTTGGAGCGTGAGGTCGAAGGGAAAGACGGGCTTTCGGGGGATGAAGTAGGTACCCGAGATTTGGACGGCGCCAGGATTGTTAGTGGGCTCGTCAAACCCCAGTGATTCATACGCCGGAGGGTTGTCGTCCATTTCGACGTCATGGTGGAAGGAGACGGGCGTGTGGTCGCCGACGTGTTGCAGAGGATCTGAGACGGGGCGGGTGCTTGTGTTACTACGCGGGAAAGGCTGGCTTCGTCTGGCGGTCTGTGGCTTTGGCAGCGCGGAGAGCGTGGCCTTTGGTTTTGCCGGAGACTTGGACGTGGCTGCGGGTTTGGGGTTGGAAGAGGAGGAGGTTGCTTTGGCGCCTTTGGGCTTTTTGGAAGAGGCATCTTTGGACTCGGTCGACTTCTTTGCCGCATCGAGTACATCACGATCGATCTTGACCTTCATGCCGTCGATCTCAAGCTCAATGGTGGTTTTCGAGCTGCTGCTGCCTCCGCCTTTCTTCGCTCTAGCAGCCGTAGTTGTAGCCGTAGCCGTAGCCTTCCCTGCGGCCTTGCCCTGCAGCGGCTTGGTTGCTGCGGTCTTTGCCTTCCTCAGCGTGCGGGCACACTCCTTTTCCATTTCCGTCTCCAGCTTCACGATCTGCTGGGGCACTGACAGCGTCTTGGCCGAGAGCGCATTGGTCAGTCGCACTTTGGCAGTGTTTTTATCCTTGGTGCGCGGGAGGCCATAGTGAAGGAGCTGCGCCTCGTACCAGTGGGCGACCTGATCCCTTGGTGCAGAGCCACGCTTAGGCAGTAACAGGCCCTTGAGGTCTGCTGTTGAGGCACGCGGATGGCGCTTGTTGGGGCCCAGATCTATAAAGAGCGTGTCTTTGTAGACAAAGTCGCCTCTTCTGATCTCTGTGTTTTCCATTGTCGGGGGGAAAGTCGTTATTAGGTCCTTGTGGCAAGAGATGTTGCGAAGTGGGTTGGGTAGTCTTTGATGCTCTGAGCGTCAGCGAGTAGTTGGGGGGTCACGGCACTCTAATCAGGGTCCGATATCAACTCAATAGTACTTGAGACACACACTTATCGGCACCTACTTGCCCACATAATGGTAGTGGTATATACTCCTCCAACCCTCCCCCTTTCTCTCTCGCAGGACAACCTATGCTTGTAATGCTGCTACTCGACGACTCACTCCCTCAGCAGCAGCACACTCGGCTGCAAACCCCAAACATCTTGCCACCCAGCCTGGTCCCCAGTAGCTCAACTCGACACAATGGGGTGCCCCAAGCACTACTCCGCTCTCTACCCTCGGGCTCCCTGTAAACTCCCGAGCAAAGTCCTGGACAGTCTCCTTTGTCGCCTTCCACAATGCATCATGTTCACCCATTCCATACATGATTGGAACCTTCACCTCCTTGGCATAAGTTAACCAATATTCCATCCAGTGGAACGACCCGTCTTCAAACTCTCCTAGGGACATGGACGTGTTCAACTCGGCTCCCATTCCAAGAATCTCTGGAGACACTCTCCCCAGTTTAGGGTCGCCGAACATGGGCCCATCTTTCATCTCGAGCGGCCAAGTGATCCGTCCATCGACCACTCCGTTCTCAACAATGTGTCTTGCACTTTCGCTAGGGCGGCCGTGAACCGTGCCCCAGCCGGACAGGATCAGTCCGCCATAGGGGTACTGGGGTTGAGTTTCCTTTGCATGGAGAGCAGAGGCCACAATGGAGCTGGGGGATCCCAGAGAGTGCGCCAGGAGGACGACGGTAGTTGCCCCAGAGCTAGCGCCGAATTCTTGCCATATCTTGGGGAGAACGTAGCCGTGAAGGTACTTGCCTTCCTCCTGCAGGAATGTTGATCCTTCTGGGACTGGTGGGAGTGCTGTGCTGTCTTTGTAGCCCGGGCGGTCAATTGACACAAAAGGCACTCCGAGGGTTTCTGCTAGCCTTACGGCCGAGTTCGTCGTACCAGCGTCGAAGTATTTTGAAAAATATGTACCACCATGTATACCAACAATCAAGGGTTGATAGTGAGGGGTTGTTGAGATTCGAGGGGACACCGACACAATCCCTGAGAGCTGTGCGCCATTCGACAACGACAAAGTAAACGGCTTCATACCGATCTAGAGGCTCTGGTTGAGTTTCCCGAGGAAAATGGAATGACCTGTCGGCTTCTGCTATGGCTTTGGAGAGGGAAACTCACAAAAGACTTACCAGGGAGGAGCAGCCGAGTTTTATTCCTTATATTTTTGTCGGTCCTGACGACCTAGCATAGTTAAATATAGCTTCAAGGGTAGTAGAAGCTGTTAGACCTCAAGGCGTCCCGCAGCGTGGTCCCCTTGCTTGCCTATCTCGCCGTCCATGCCCCGATCCATGCCCCGATCCATGCCCCGATCCATGGTGGACCGATCGTGGGGATTTCCCGACACTTGCATGTAGTTCACCAATCTCGGGCGACTTGTCCTGTTATATGCGGCGATGGCCAAGGTGTGCCTTCAGATAGCCCATTAGGCAGGTTTCTGATCCGTCTCATCGTCTACTCATCTTTGGCCAATTCGCTCTCCGGCTTTGCGAAACTCGGAGATTAGAATGTGACCTGTCGTGGCGTGGCCAAGAAGAGTTTCGGCATTCCCTGGGACAGTATTGAGTCTCTCCCTGTTAATATTAGATCTTCTTGATAAATGTATCGATGTACCGCAGATGGAACGGAAAGATCGAGTCTGGGCTTCAAGACTTTTCGATTGGCAAGTGTAGAGTAAACCCGCTAACGCCCTGATGACAGGACTTCGTGACAAAAGCCTTTTCCCGAATGCTTTGTTGCTCCTTGTATCTCGAACGTTGCTGGCCGCGCGAAAAACCCTACTGACATGCGCCCATATTGCGTTCCACCAGGTACCGCATAGACAGCGAACTTCCATAACGATTGTGGTATCTCAAAACTGCAAACACGTAGGAACTTGTTCGTTAAATCTTGAATATTACCGCGGGATATGTATAAGCAGATCGTGAGATGCATTTGGCCTAATTCCCGGCATGAAGTCCCATCCCTTATCCGTCCCGTGCGACAAACGGCCCTGTCCACGTGCCGCCTCCCAATATCAATTTTAATGCTGGACCACGTCGTTGTACATTTTAGCATCATCATTCAGAGCCGGCGTCGCTGGAAACTCTCCAGGCACATGGAAGTCCCTGGTGATCTTCGGACTCTTGGTAGTTTGCGCCGGCTTGACGACGTAGTCCGTTGGGGCAGTTTTCGACGTCCTGGGCACAACAAAGACACCATTGGTATCGAACATGGTGTCAGTCGGCGCCGCATGACCTGTACTAGTTGGTACGGTTGACAGAGTCCCTGTCTCCGTTCCTGAAGACACAGTATTCGCAACAGCCGAGCCGGGCGCTGTGGTCGACTCGCTCATCGCCCGCGGGCCGGCTGGTGCCTCGATAGGTGCCGCGGTTGCTATGGGTATGGGAGCAGACGATTCGCCATAATGCGGTATTGCCGACTCACCATCTAGTCGTTGGGCAGCTGTCTCAGTCTGGTTTTCCCGCTGGTGTTCGTCGTGGTGACGCATAGCGCCAGCTGCTAATGCCGCGCCTCCCGCCCCTGCAGCTATCGGTGCCATCCATTCACCATACTGACTCGCCCCATCATGGGAAGGGGGAGCTTGGCGAGCTGGGAATATATTTGGGTGGTGTCCTGGGGCGTACTGGCTTGTCGTGTTCATTTGCGGTGTTGGTCCATCAGGTGGATGCGCGTCCGGTTGCAGGTCCGTGTGCTTTTCCGTGGTATTGGCGAAAGGAACTCCGCTGCCTGGCAGAGCACCTGCTGCTGCTATGACATCACGGTCTGGGTCAGAACTTTCTCCACTAGAAGGGGACAGCGGAGCTTGTAAGCCGCGCTGTACGTTGAGATCAGATGGAAATCGCCCACCTGGTGCTGGTCGTTGTGGAGGACGCCACCCGGCTTCAGACCTGTTGTCCTCGTCGTCGTGCATCGCTGCCGCGCCGAGACCACCGGCGCCAGCCGCGGCCGCGGCGGCGGCGGCTCCATCAGCAGATGTTCCTCGCACAGCGGATGTTCCTCGCACGGATTGTTCGCCGGAAAAGGCAATGCGATCAGCTTCATCGTCCTCCATTTCGCCCTCTGAACTGATAATGCTCGAGGGTTTGACGCTATTGCCAGAAAGTGATCGAGCGTGCTGTCTGCGGACAAATTCATTACGTTCCTCGCCTCGCTTTTCGGTAAGCTCCTTGATATCATTGAACCATGCTAACATGGTTTCGTGAGATTCAGCTCGAAAAACCCAGGCATGCCCACGGTGCATTGACCCGGTTTGTCGGCCCTTGAGCATGAATTTGTGCGACGATGAGTCGAGCTCGGAATGAGCGCCCAGTTTCTGCTCGGGCAAATACAATGACATGACAGGCGACTGGAACGCAATTCGGTCTGCCGATTTGAATTCGTGAAGATGGGTTGGAGACAGAACGTACCTGACAGGCATCAGTAACCACAGCTGCGGGATCAGTTCTAGATTCAACTCACCATCCAGGAGTGTAGTTCTTCAAATATTTACTCTTCCGCTCAAGCATCCCACTCCTCACTTCAATTGCTGCGGGATGATCTTTTCCGGGATAGATAATGTGAGAAACTTGTCGGATAGGGATTCTTGGATCCACCATTTGGTTGTTGTTCTTGGTAAATTCGTCCCATTCATGATCCTTGGCCATTGACAGTGGCCCTTCCTTGAGTTTCTCGGCCGTGCCATAGGCGTCGTCAGCCTCGCGGCGTAGAATGCCAGCAAGAACATTGTATGCTTTCTGAATCTCGCCGACCACAATGGACTCTAGCTCTCGGCCAGACGCTTCGAGGTTGAGATAAGCCTTTTCATGTTAGCTCAACTAGTGCGCCTGGGCCCATCAAAATAGCCTACCCGATGCAAATAGTTCTCTTCGTCAATCTGTTTCTCAATCTGCTTGTCGACAGCCATCTTGACCAGGAAAGGGTCGCCCCTTCCTCCGGTCGTTGTTGCGTCGTGATCGACCATGCCCAGAGATTCCTGGAGGGATTGGATCGCTTTTTTGGTGGCCTCCTTTTCCTTGTCTACTGAATTCTTAAAGTCACCAGACAAGCTTTTGATCTCTTTGATTTTCTGTTGTAGGTCACTCCGCAGACCTGTAAGTTGAATAATGACCTCATTCTCGAGGTCTCGAGCCTTGTTGGCTTCATTGAGGCCTTGTTTATGAAAATCGCGTAGAAGATACGCGGCGTCGCCCAAACCACCGGATGTTAAGAAGTTGGAAGGGATAGTGGTGTTATTGATGACGTTGGAGGTCGACATGAGCGCTTTTGCCCGTATCTCGTATGTCTTGTGCAGTTCCCGAAAGTAATTGATCAGATCCTTGAGGACTTTACGCCATGCTACGTAAAGATTAGCCGAGACACCACCAGGTTAGTCAAAGGGAACGAAGTATACCTTGAAATCGCGCAGCGAGAAGCTCTGTAGGATTCCCCGTGGTCGGAACTGGGCAATAGAAGACGCTGTTGGTCTCTTCGGTCTCGCCGTATTGCTCCTTTTCTGCCAATGGCATGCTTCGCACTGAGCCAGCATAGCTGCTTCTTTTGCTAGCAGTCCTTTTCAGACTCGCGCTCTTGTGAAGGGAAGCCTTCTTTTTCAGTGTCCCACCTCTCGATGGCAACAAAGTCTGCGACCCTGACATGTGCGAGTTAGTGTGAGGGAGCTCCGGTGACTCCTGGGTATGGCGGACGACTTCATCGTGCAACTCGGCGGCTTGCGCTACGGCGGATTGATCCTGCAGTAATCCAGCTTGAGAGTGGTTTGGGTGCGATACAGTCTCCGTATGCTGGGCGCCGGCGTAGGATACGGGTCGAGAAGATGGTTTCGCACTCGTTGGTCGCGCGGAATATACCGAAGCATCGGGATGAGTGCTTTGAATTGGTGAAACAGGAGTGATCGGTCTCGACATGATGACAAGGTCAAGATAGGAACGCGAAAGCCCGGTTGGGGAGCTATCTGCTGGTCATTGAAGTTTGGTTACACCGGCGAGCTGCGTGTGGGAGCTATGTCGCCAGCGGCATCTTGGGGATAGACGAGAACGGTTTCGAGTATTCGGCACAACTCGTCTGTGCGAAAGGTCGAAAGGTCAAACGGGACACGGCACAGCAATCAGACTGAGAAGGGAGCTCAGGGGAGGGGGAGTCGAGACCAGGGAAATGAAATGCGACAGGCGGTCCAAAATGTATGACGTCGATTTCAGGAAGAACAAGAGTTCGATGGTGATGATGAGGAAAGTCGAAGGCGGGCGGAAGCGTCGACGTCGAGGTGGCTCGGTGCACAGTTTCATGGGCAATACAGTAAAACGCTGAGGTCAGTGCCCGCTTGGGAAGCTTTGGGTGGGCTTGGTGGGCTTGGTGGGTTCCCGAGGGGAGGTGCAAGAGGTCGAGGCTTGGACCACTAGACTTGGATTTGGGGCCTTGCTTGACGTTGCTCAGTGCCACCGGCACGGCAGGAACAACTGGTCGAATCGCAACCTGGAACGGGCCCCCTCCCCCCAAGGGTGGGATTTGGCGGTTGACAGTTGGCAGATGGCAGCTGGCAGCTGCTGGCCAAGGGCAGCGAGCAGGCGGCTGGGTCACTGCTAGGGCCGCTGTTAGGGTGACTGGGGGGGGCTGCTAGGCCCCTCGGCGGTTGGCGGTTGGCGCGGAGCTGCTGAACCTCTCGAGATTGAGTGCTGAGTACTGGGTATCAAGCTGCTGGCAGTGGAGTGACGAGGCATCTGGTGCCATCGTCAGACAACTGTGATGTAATCTGCTCCCCATTCGCTTTGTTCTCTCTACTTGTTAGACCTGTATTACTGCACAGCGCAGCCTACCCGGTACTGGAACAAAGAATGCGAGAGCATCGCCCAAGGTTTCTTCCTCGATCGTCGGTTGAGCATTGCCGAGGGTGCTTTTGCAGGATCACCAAGTCGCAAGCTCTCGTGGAAGCTAGCTCTCCAACGATTGAATTGCTAGCCACAGGAGCTATTTGAAAGGAACCACTCACCCCGCTGAACGCTGGACACCATGAACAACTGCATCTCTTAGGCGCGGCGGCCTCCCGAACCTCGAGCCCGGACGACCCACCCTAGCCAGAAGCAGAAGGGAGCTATCTAAGCAATGAGCACCGCACCGCAATCGATCCGAGAACGATGGTGACACCACGGTACAATTGCATGAGAAAGAGACGGCAGATCACGGAAGGACACCTCGTATGCCTGGGCAAGCTCGGGTCAGCGTCGACAGATCTCAGCTGTTTCCTTGCGGTGGCTGGGCCAGTGGCATTGCATTGCCTGGCCTGATGATCATGTCAAAATGGCTTGACGGTCCGGCCGCCCTCCCAAAGGCAAAAAGCTCAGGAAATCGGCACATCAGTCATCAATCGTTCATCTTTGCGTTTTGCCTAGCACAATCCTCCTCTCCACCGATCGATCATCGTATTCAGTCAGGTATTGGCAAGCTCTTCTATGTCTACTTGGTAGACCTGCTTTTGAAAGGTGGGCATAATGACCGGCGCTCGATGCGCCACGAGAATATGACTGAATCAATTATCTTTGGCAAGTACCTCGTACGGGACCCTCGCACAAAACAATTCATATTTGCTTGGTTTGTGATTTCACTTACCTAAACTTGTGGCGTGACTGCTGGTAAGGGAAGTTCTGCAAAGAAGGCCTGCTCTTCGGGACCACCAGGGCCTGCTGAAGATATCAGCAGCATCCCAGACCATCTTCCGTCCTGCTTGGTAACAAAATACTTGGACACAGTCTGAACTGGCCCACAGACCATTAGGCCGGCGTGTTCTTGCAGGTCCAAATCCCTCCATGACAGGTTTTATTCCTGCTTTGGTTAGACCTGCTTACCGACGCACATGCATTGCTGGGCTCATCATGTCGTACCTAATCGGCTTTGTCATCCATTTGATCGCAGTAGCTTGTTGTTTTCCCTATACAGCTCATGGACAGGACAAAGTTGGAGTGAAACAACAGTTTGAATATGCCACATGACGAAAAAAGCTTTAATCCACAAAATCCCAGGGAACTGCCATCTCAATAGCTTCTTCTTTCGAGCCTGAAGCTGATTGCAAGTGCTTCTTTCTGAAGACCTTGGTACAGTTGCCTATGTACAAAAGATTCTGGATGCCGTCGAATTGATCTCTCAAAGCAGCCGTGCGGATAGTATAACATGTCCAGTCGCCTCCCTATGTCCTGCACAGCTTAAAAGGATCAAGTCGTCGTCTCGTTCGCTAGCACCACAGTTCAGGTGCGGGTTACAAATACGAACCTGAATTGTGGTTCCCTAAGCGAAGATGGGTGGTGTATCATGCCCCGGGGGCTGGCTTGCCTTCATAGTACGGCGGTTGGACATCGAAGCCATATCTTTCCTTAATTCTTTGCTTCCGTCTTTCCTCATACCCCGGGCCGTAGATACCTGGGACCATGTGAATCAGCCGCCTGCGGAGAGTATCTTGTCGATATATCTTACCTCGTCCTTCTCCCAGCTCGTTGATTGTTTCATTGAGAGGTCTTCTGAACCGAGACCTTGCCTCCTCTTTATATGCCATCCGGTCCTCGAATGCTGTGTCTGAAGAAGATTCGAACATTGAGCGGCCAGTGTAGCTGATCACGCCCATCGCGGTGCTGAGGGCCAAAGCGCTGCCCAGCGTCGATGTCATTGACCGTTCTGCTGCCAGTTAGCAATGAACCCGACCCACTTCTGCTGTGCGTTCCATACTCCAGAGACCGTTCAAAGAGCCAGCTAGGGCACCGCCGATTACATGGTTGATGTAGTCATTCTTTTCTCGTAGGTTTGCGGAAGCCGAACTTGCAAACTGAAACGTTCCTCCCATGGCCGCTGGAAACAATCAGAATCTGTTCAGGTTCTACATTTTGAGAAGATCCCAATCATACTGAGTAGACCAATGGTTCTGCCAAAACGTGTAAACACCCCGAAGGCACCAATTTGTTCCTTGGCGACAGTGTTCTGGACAGAGGCAACGAAAAGACCAGCAGCACCGGTTAACGCAGCTGCGCGCGCCGAGAGGCCCAGAGCATCCTGAGGTTGGTAAACGGGCTCGTCGGCATCGTAATTCGGCTTCGGGTCCACCAAGTCGCCCATGGCTGCGATCCTGGCTGTTGGAGCTGAGGGAGGTCAAGTTCAAGTCATCAGTAGCTGGGCCAAAGTGATGTCAACTCGGTGGAATGGGAGGGACGCGAGGAGGGCCGACTGTAAATTGAGAAGTTTCGACTTGCCGTGAGATTTATGTTGATCTCCTTCTACCGAAGCTCTCACATTGAAGTCAGAGAGGTGCAGCTTGGCATTCGCGCGGCATACCTTCCTTATGCAAACTGTGCACTTGATTCGTTGGGCGGAGGGAACATTTAGCCCCACTTTGACATGAATGCATCGGCCTGTTCAGAGACGAGGCTCCCCCATCAAGGGGCTCACAGCAAGGTAGATCAGCTTCTGGTGATTCTAATGGGCAAAAAAAAACCGCCTCAGATATCGTTACGACGCCAGAATGTGGCTCTTCAGGTTCCCCTACTGATCTCGGGTTTGTTATATTAAAACAGAGAGGGAATAGACACAGCGCATGTATACCTTGACAAGGCAACCACAGAGATGGATCTACAGTTAGACCCGACTCTGACAAGGTCCCAGGTCTCCATCATTCGCCCACATTATATTCCTTCCACGCCGCCTTTCTAAGCCAATCTGCGCTCAATAGAGAATCTCTCCCTCGTCTTGTCTCCAGACTCCCGAATCCCATCGACCTGGGCCACAGCCTCACCACCTCCTTCTGATCGAATCCAAGGTGTCGGCGTCGGCATGGACATCGTTCTGAAGCGCTTCGTCGTCGTCGCCGTTGTTGAGATCATAGTCAATGGAATTTGCCGTCCCGCTAATACGGAACCTGAATCCTCCCTGCGGATGAATCTCCAGCAGCAGGTCGGTGTGCTCGGTCGGGTCCTCGAGGTGCCTGACGCGGAGATCGTAGTGAGTCACCGGTATTGATTTCCGACTTAATCAGGGCGATTCAAACGCCCCGGTTCTGCTGATGCTCTCTACTAGCAGCTCATTGACTCCCACCGTGGATCCGATGCCTCCCTCGCCGCTGAGCGTCAACCTGTTCTCCGAGTACGGGCACGAGTTGCTGTCGTCACCCTGGAAGCTCAGCACCGCGGCTTGAATCTTTGTCGGTTCCGACGTGGTCTTCTTAGCCGCGATAGTCAACTCTGTATCCCTACCCACAGTCTATCGCGATCGTCACCGTGTAGCTCAGCTTGATCGTCGGCGGCTCCGGTATCGGGTCGTCCATGTCGATCAGTAGAGGCTTGGCCTTGTCGCGGAGGAATGCTTCGGTCTTTGAAGAGGGGGACCTCTATCTTTTTTTTTTTTTTGCCTTGTCCGCTTTGCCATAAAAGATTCTGGCGGGAATGATCCCGATAAAGGTGCATATGACCCCAATGACTGGCAATGTAACGGCGACGGATGCGCTGAGGGACACTGCGGCCACGATCGTAAGCGTCATAATGGCGAGCTTCACCATCATGAACCCTACTTGTGCATACAACGTACTTTTCCCAATAGTCGTCAGATTGTCCCTGTCTGACAAGGGGGGAACCGATATCGTAATGTAATAGGCCGGCCCAGCGAGCGTGGTCAGGAGAGCACCCTGAACGACATGGTGTAGTATCTCATTGTGTCCACGTTACTTTCCAATGTGGCAGCGAGGGCTCTCCATTTTTCATTCCAGATGACCATTCGGTCCTTTTCGCTGACATTCAATCCGTTTCGGATCTGAGAACCAGAGACTGCAACGACGAGAGCCGGCCGTGTTGAAGCTTGGTTCGTGGCGATGCCATTTGCTTCCGCCCGGAAATTCCTGTTAAATCTCCCCAGATAGCGGCCTCGAGTCCGACTTACCGCTTCGTCTATAGCTGTGCTATTGACTGCGTTCCCGATCTGAGCGGCCTGTCAGGCCGTTGAAGAAGCCTTTGACTCCGTACGCCCCCTTTTGTTCCTGATTGCGGTCGGGACTAGCGATGCACTCATTATAGCGAACATGCTCGTCTATGAGTCAAGTCGGTCAAGAGATTCTAGAATTTCATCCTTTCCAATCCTTACCATGCCTAAACTCAGCAAGCCTCTGGAAGAAAGCTTTTTGCATTGGGACACACCACTCGAAGTCTTGTACCACTTGTTGATTGTGGCTTGAATGAAATCCGCCTTGCTGGTCGCCTGGAGAACTAGTAGGATCGCAGCCATAGTAGATGCGACTCCAGATGTGATGAGAAGAGTCTATTCCAAAATCGGCGTCTTCTTGGTATCGTTGTCCTCGGTCGCCGCGACTTTAGCTCATCCATCTGATCTTTTATGTCTTCGGAACGTATTGCTTGTAACTCAGTGTCAAGATCGCAGGAATTGTTCAGCACCATGTCGATGATCTGACCGATAGAGTCGTATATCCACTCTGACACCTTGTAGCTAAGAATGTCTTCGACCTCGCCCGGAGTGCTGGCGTCGGTCGTATTAATCAAATGGGTAATCACAATCTCGAATGATTCCGTAGCATGGTCGTGTAGCGTAGCAATGCTGGATGAAATTTCATGCAAAATGGAACACCATCCATCCAACGGCATGCGCCCTTGCGGTGCATACAGTCATTCAGCCGCTCTCCGGGCGCCTTGAAACGAAGCCTAAAGGTGGACTTCCGTCGCTGTTGACAGGAGCCAGTAGCAAATAACTGCCGAGGAAACAGGGGTTGTCAAGATCTATCAGAAGCTTCCTGGCCGATTTCTCACCCCCTGAGAGGCTGACTGTCTTTTGATCGTCACCCATCGCGATCACGAATTACTTCGCTTCTTGCTCTGCGAGATAAGGATTCAGATCCTCTCCAACTAACAAAAATACCTGCTTAGATGTTAGTCCTGCAATATATTGTGTGGTGGATCTTTCCCCTTGCGTGTTTCCTAGATACCCAGTGATCTCCATGTTGAACTGGAACACAGCCCCGTTGAACTCTCTCATATTCCACTAGAAATCAATTTCCATACCGTAGAAGGGGAGTGGAATGGTCACATCGCTTTACTCTCTTTTTTAGGTAAAAGCGAGGTTGCGGGTCGGATAGACAAGAACATCTACCTGCTCGTCGGTCTCTTGTTCTGTATAATGATCGGAGAGAGCTGAGACTGCCGCAGCCCACCTCATTTGCCATGGCATGGAGGCGCCATCTGGATTAGAAGACAACTGCATCATAAAGTGAGAGTAATTTGCTGCTTGTAAGGGTGGGTGCTGTTCAAGTCATCCGCGTAGCATGTCAAGCTCGGGGATGATCACAGATGGAAGTTGAGGGCGTCGACATTCGGCTTGGAATGATATGTTCCCAGAGTCAAGCCACCCCATTTCTACAGGCTGACGCAATCCGTTCTCGTCCCAACCTCAAGAGGCCACTCTTCCGCATCCTTGAAGGTTGCGTGAAATCCTCCTCCGATAAATGCATCGAAGGATTCAGGATTCACCCAAGGACCCTGATAATCCCGTCTGGTTCTTCTTCGCGGTTATCGCCCCCTCCTTCATCTTCATCCCCATCGTCATCATCCCTATTTCCGGGGGACGGGGCGGGTTAGGTTCATCCCACCCATCGTCCCCGTCTTCGTCGCCGGGATCAGGGTCTTCGCATCCTCTGACGCCAGGAAGGAGACCAAGAGTTTGAGTATCTCCCACAGGATTTCAACCAGCGTTTCAACTCTGGACCACCCTTTGGGCTTGCTCTGTATGTGTTCCTCGAGCTCCTGTTCAAGTTCTGAGGTGCTTTTTGCAGCGAGACCCACAGAAGTCCTTGACTTATTTGCAAGCGCGATAAATTTGGGTCGCACGTTGGATAGGTCTTCTTTGTCGGACTCTTCTTCCATGATGCGACCCGTATTGGCTGTAAGGGCACGCTGTTCTCCATGCTTTCTGGCATCTTGCTGGTGTCGGCTTCTGCGCTGACCCAGACAACTTTTGTGCCGGCAAGGCCTGCGGAGCTGAATTCCAGCACACCGTGCTCGTATCCTCCAGAAGTTCCGCAGGAGAGGGGCTTGAGGAGTCGGGACCAGATGAGTCGTTCCTTGCGCCGATCATACGAGGTGCGGTGCCCAAGCTCGCCTTCCAGGTTCTAGGTTTCGAACAACTGCATTACCGGAAGCTTGTCGCCTGACGAGCAGGCCTTCGTCATGGGAGAGTCGATAGGCGCCAAGTGGAATGTACAACATACATCTAGGAGGCGCACACTCTAATGGATTCTAATTGGAGCAAGTTTGCCTTTCTTGGCCTGCCTCAGCCCAGATGCCAGAAGCTGGTGGACGCCGTCGATACCAATCTTGATGAACAAAGGTCTCAGATCTTTGATTTTCTTGAGCATCTCAAGCCGCATTTCAGGTGGGAGCTTCTCAAGTGCAGCAGCAACAGACTTGATCATAATTTCCGGATAATTCAATGCCACCAGGTTCCCGTTCGCATGGTACCTACGGTGGCTCTCCCGAAGGTGCACTCCATGGAGAACTTGAGACTTGGCGAATTCCACTTGAACTGAGTCGATAGGTACAAGCTCGTACGAGCTACTATCTGAGGAAGGGCGACAGAGGACGGGACCAGCCTCCAGTTTGCCGACGTCGAGCGTTCTCTTCCAATGCCAATTCGGGCTTAACACCGCGGAGACCAATAGTGGTGTGGAAGACGTGCCCTGCAGTCGCAAAAACACCTTCGCCATCTGTGAGAAAGATGGTGTTCGTAGATGTTATGTCGAGAGCCACGCAAGTGGATTTGGCGAAATCTGGGTCAACACTTACTAAAGCCTACCGAGAGAGGGTCTCTGACCTCGCTCCCAACCCTCTCGTCGGATGCTATGCCAGCCTACTTCGAATCTATGTCGGTGAGAATGACTGTGCGTTTACTGACGCTCTTGATTGGAATTTCGTCTGTCCACGTCGCACCCATGGTTCCAGGAAGAAAGCATCCACCGCCGCCGCCGCTGCTTTTCTTGATTGTGGTGGTCTTCCCAGGGACTTCCTTGATCTGAGGGGCCTTGGAAGCCAATAGGTATGCGAACGACTACTTGGCTGCAGTTGAATCGAGTTAGTAAATAAGGTCCAAGAACTTGGGGTTCAGGCATTATTGAAGACGTAAAGCTTCTTGATCCAATCTGCAACGGGCTGTCCAGTGATGGTCGTCATATTGGTTCGTCTGATTTCCGAGTCAGCACATAGTAGTCGAGGAAATAGAGGATGCTGAGGTGTCGCACCTGTTGCTCGACCGTTTCCAATATGACAATTCTCGATGGGGAGCCTGTCGGCTGACCGTTGGCATTGTAAATAACAATTTCCTGATCGACTTTCTTTACTGATATAGCCACGGAATTCAGGCAATTGTGGTTCGGTGTTGCCTGAATCTCCCTGCATCTAGTTGAGATGGACTTGAAGTTCTAGGTCGCATTCTCCATCAGCTCATCGATCTTGTCATCGGTAATGGCAGACAATATCGTGACCGGCACCTGCGTCAGGGATTTCGTGGACCGCGACTTGACCGCTGTCAAAGAACCTGTGGAGGACGAGTCGACGTATCTTCAAGCCATCGACCGATTTGAGTTCGCCCTTCACGATCGGTGCGGAAACCACGGAGGCAACCTCTATAGAGAAAGAAAGAATTTTCTTGACGCCGTCTCCATTTCTAAGGTTCGGCCGTCTGCTGCAGCAGGTATTTCCGCCAGACATTCAAACCCTTGTTGCTCGTGGAATTTGCAAAAGCGTTACCCTGGATGGGAAGGCAGCGCGGACCGTGCTCGATATATTCCAGAGCACATAGAAACGCTGTGCTGTACATGTAATGACGGCTGGCCAAGTCAGCAAAGAGAAAGCCTCCCGGAAACAGGTCTGATATGAGGGCAGCCTGGATTTCAGCGAGGACTCCTTGTTTGCTGTGCAAGCTGGCGAGTGAAGGCAAACCATTTGTCTTCAAGTGCTGGTTAGTGTGCTCAGCGAACATGAGAGACGTGGCCTCTCGCCATGTCCTCAAATGGGTCATGGCTTGAGACACTCTATGTATAGTTAACTCCATAGATTGTATTTTGTCAAGACGTCGTACGGATGCTTTAGGTCCCATTTTCGCACAGTTGCCGAATCTAGGCTTGTCAGATTGGCTGTTCATCGAGCCCGTGGCCGTAACCACGGACTGGACGACAAGTACGGAAAGCGACATCTGATTCATTTCGACCAGTAATGGCCAGACCCGAAGGCTCGACACCGAGAGCATCGGAATATTTTTCGACTAAGAAGTCCCTCTTGAAGTCGCAGACGATTAGTGTCTAGGTTGTAATGTTGAAAAGACGCGTCATATAGTCAGTGACTGGGAAGGGCGGAAGACTTCCCCAGAGCTTCGCGAGGTCGCCCGTGAGCTGTTCAGCTTCCATGACGTTGGACATTCTAAACAAAGATCTAATGTAGGGATGGAGAAACCACTACACAACGGAATCAAGGATAATGAATATGCAATGGATCAAGCCGACGCAGGAATGCTAGGCAAGGGGAATGGTTTCTTAGTGTTAGAGGAAACTTCATGATGACAAGTGAGCGCAGGTGGCAGATAATGTGAAGATACTTGTACTAGAACGATTCCCTGACTTCCTTCTTGTATGGTCCTGCCCAAGCAGTCCAGTGCTGTACAAGGAATGACGTCGTCGTCGACAAGAAGTACCTGAGCTCTGGGCTCTTCACAGGAGGTTCGGTTGGGATGCAGAGAGATGCGGATACATGCTCAAGCAAGGAGCACCAAGTTGACGCATAACGACTGACTAAGCCAGGCATAATCCTCCGTCGCCAGCCTTGTATTTGTGGAAGCTAGCGGTGGCAATCCTTACTGCGGCGTTGTTGCTTTCTCGGCGTTCATCATTTGCTCACCCGCTGGCAAAAGGACATAACGCTATATGTCCTGACGGTTGCATATGCAACATGAAATAGTAGAAGCGAGATGAGAGCTGAATTACAGCAGACGGACCTAAGCCCGAGCTAAACTGTTGTTCGTCGTGTTCGGAGATTTATAGTGTCAGATTTGGAGCTGGGGGAGCAACGAGGTGCTCAATCACCTTGTTGCATCGTTCAATATAACAATGATTTCGACTCGAGGGACGTGACGCACATTGGGATTGAGCCCTAGGGTAACACCTCATTGTTTATGCTTCCGAAATTCTGTATGATGAAGATTTCAGGGAGCGGTGCTAGTCCTGCGACATTGCTGTTCTGGATTGCCGTCGAAAACATACCTTTCAAGGTCCAATACGACACCAAGAAACAGGCCAGATTCTCTCAATTCCGAAGGAGAAAGGCATTGCCGTGTACTTTGGTTGCGAGAGAGCCTGGCAGCTACGTTTCAAGGCGAGACCTTGTTATTTCAACACGGAAGCCGGAGACAGTACGAGGTACAACTGGTTTGGCTGCTTTGTCTGGCTGAGTATGGGAAAATGACGGGGAAGTGTCTCATATCTGGAAACGGTTCGGGCAGCAACAATGGCACCGAAGTTATGGGGTGCGCAGAAGAGCTGTCGAACCGCTTTGTGTGAAGAAGGTAATACCGATCTGTGAGATGTTTCAATATCGAAAGGCTGCTTTTACCGACGATGACTAGCGCCTTGGCATTAGCGGCATTGGGAACATTCAAGGCCGGAAGCGGCGCCGCCTTACGCGCCCCCCGATTGGGAATCTCCAGGCTTCGATTCCTCGTCACATATGCATTTTGCCATTCGCAGGCTGCTACCTACACACGCTCCGCCTTCGTCATGGCATGACATTCTGAACTCTTTTGAATTCTTCTATTACACTGCACCTATGATTTAGGCTGGCTGACACCTCTTCTGTCACTCCCCGGCAGAAGACTGCGTGGGTGACGGCCTGTGGAAGGTCCGGTCCAGTCCAAGTGTCTCTCTGCGCTTTGTTGCTCGAGTCCCAGTTTCAACCATCCACCCATCACAGTAGTTCCTCGAGTCCAAATATCCTGCGCCCGCATGAAACTAGATCAGACGTATCCCTTTGCCTAGATCCTGCGACAGTCCATTTGCATACCTGCCCTCACTGTTGGCTCGGAGAGCTGGTGGATCGCTTCCAAGCCGACTTGCATGGCCGGTGTGCAAGGCAATATCCGGTCCTTCATTGCGCCGATCAAAGGATCTGGTGTGTAGGCAGGAGATGCCACCAAAGAGATTGTCTATAATAACGAGATACTACAGGTCGAACTGCCCCGGCATTCCTCGAGGATTTAACCCTTTACGAGCCATGGCAAGACTCCAAGAACCTTCCGAACCTGCTCGCTGATTCACCCCTCAAGTTCATCCACGCCCCTTATTTGGCAGACCTCCTACCTCTTCATAGCTGCAGGCACAAGTTTGGGTTGAAGCCGAAACAGTCTCAACCTCCTGCAGTGGACGAGAGACCGGGTCCGCAATCAATATGGACGGTGGCAGCATTCTGTCAAGTGTGCCGGGTACATCTTCATGTCAAGGTCGATTACACCATCAGATTTGATGACGATCCCTGCCCCAGCCTCGAGCATCCTCTTCATCACCTGGTGAGGTCAGAATTTCAAGAGCCGTTGGAAAGGAATGTATGGAAGCGTCAGAACCCGAACTCTCAAGATGAAATATATACCTTCAAGTGTTCCTCCCTGACCTGCTCCGCCACTGTTACCGTGCGCTTCAGCCCGCCGGTCCTCCGTCAGAGCGACATCCACACCCTGACCGATCCCGCGCTGCTTCGCCAGAGAACAGAAGATGCTTTCCGCGAAAGAGAAGGGCACACGGAGGGGATGCGGCACCCGGGGCCGATGGATGTCCTGCTAGACCTCCGAGCATATCTGAAAAACTCATGGCGTGCGAGAGATGATCCAAAGTACCGGTCAATCAACTTGTCAAATCGGAGGTTCATTGTTCGATTTGGACCCGAGGGAACCGCTTGCAAGGACGTCCTAGATCATCTTGGGTTCCAGCTTTTGGTAGGTGGAGAAGCTGTCCTTGAGAAGTTGCACTTGAAATGTACCTGTGTTGACCCCCTCGTCTGTCAGCCCGGGGATTGCTGGATGGTCCCAGAACCAAGTTTTGAGGACCACCAACCCTACCAGAGCCCCCTCAACATCTGGTTAGACAATGCCGAACACGAATTGACGGCTCTGCTTCTGTCCCGCCCCTATGAGGAACGACATCAGCTGCAAGATATTGCCCCTCCGCTGCCCGCCGAAAGGGAGCTTTCACGGGCCCTTGGGTGTCAGGACTGTGAGTCGCCCGCCTGCATCTGGCTGAGACGCGCTAATTGAATGGCAGATGACACGCATCCTGCAAGCAGAACAGCTAGAATCTCTCCCGAGATGAGAACTCCGTACAGGCAACCTCCCACCTTTTTCTCCTGAGCCCCGCTAACGTGGACGTAGTCCTTTCACTGCTCTTGGCTGTCCGATGGATCTGTCCGACCAACTTGTTGCCAAAGCGTACCACTGGCAGGTTGAAACAGATCGTCAAAATGCGCCTCTATATCTCAGCAATCTCAAATACATAGGAAATCAGCGTCAGAGTGAGGTCTTAGAGACTGAGGTTGTTTTGGAGACCTCACAGGGCCATTATGATGCAGAAATGCTGGATGAAGCATATAAAGCCTTCCACCTGATCGGGCGTGAGGGTCCGGTCAGCGATGAGGACATCATCGGCTCATTTACGGCCCAACTGGCGGACTCTCCAGGTCATGAACATCAACTGAGAGACTATCTCCGCATCATAGGAGTTGATCGCAACAGTAAACGCATCACGGACACTGCGATGAACAGTGAGTCACGCCTCTCATTTGAGCTTCGTGAACTCACAATTTTGCTACAGTTATTGACAGCTATGAATCGGCACTTGCGTTCCTAGATGCCGTTTCCACGATGGAAGACGAGCACATCCAAGCTTTGTGGGCTGTCAAGGTTTGTGGTGTGCCTATATGTCGATTGATCGGCGCTGATTGTTGTCTTAGACAAATGAAAACAAGGCCCTCGCAGAGCAAGCTACTCAAGCCGTCCGCGTGATTGCGCAACACCGTAAAAGCCGATTTCTGTCTAATTGGATCGATTCGGGCTTTTCGAACGAGACTCACAACCAGATGGAGCCTGCCGAAGGGTACCAAGCCCTCCAGATCGACAATCGCGCTATCGACGATGAAATGATACTCTACCAATACAACATAGCCGTCGAAGAAAATCCTGGCAGCGTGGAATACTACAACAGAGCGCTCGCCGCAATCGCCAAAGGCCGGAACAGCTCAATCTTATTGGATCATTTACACAGCAGGGCTCCCCAAGAACCTCAGGGCAAGCCGGAAGAGCCTGTGGGACTCGAGAATATTGGGAATACCTGCTATTTAAACAGCTTATTGCAGTTCCTGTTTACAATGAATGAGGTTCGCCAGTTGGTTCTCAACTTCGACGACTACAAGATGCCCTTGGACGAGAAGAGTATGGAACAAAAGCGGGTGGGACAGCGGAAAGTTAGCCTGAAGGAGGTTCAGACTGCGCAGCAGTTTGTCGCCGGCCTGGCGTCTCTGTTCCGCGGCATGATACAAACACCACGTTCATCTATCAAGCCAGAGCAGGAGCTAGCCCGATTGACACTGGAGACCGAAAGTGTTAAAGAAAAGATGCGTCGAAGGTCAACACTCAAGTCAAATGAGCGGCCCAGTTTAGGCTCGATCGGTACCCTACCTGTTTCAGGACGCGTACCCGTGGCTGACTCTGAAGCGAATGGAATAATGGATACAATAATTATCCAGTCGCCTACGGATACCAAGACCCTCACCGTTGACATAATACAAGACTTCGATGCTTCGACACTGGATGCGACAGAACACGCGACTAGTGGCCAGCAAAATGCCGATGCCTTTGTAATGAATGACAGTGCCAGTGAAGTCACTTTGGTGTCGAGATCTGGCAGTGACCAGGATTTATTGGCAGAGAGAAATGAACACCTCCCGATGTCGGACAAAGAAAATGTCTCACCTACTGGGGCTACAACAACATCGGTGGTCGTATCTCCTTGGACAGGGCAGCCTCTTCCAATAGCAGCGCCATCGAATCCAAATCCCCAATCAGGCGCATCGTCTGAAAATGCTGATGAAAAGGTATCCGGCATAGATCCGGAACTCATGAAATATGCCCCCCCTCCTGGAAAGCCACCGCCAGTGCCTCCGAGGAAACCCGTCCAGAATGCCACCACTACTCTAGAAGAGTATGCGCGTCAACAAGATGTCACCGAGGTCATGAATCATTGCATCATTCAGCTGTCTTACGCGGTGCGACCTACAGGGTTCGACAAGTCGGGGGAACAACGCGACGAAGTGCATGATCTATTCTTCGGGCAGCAGGTGGTACACAGTCAACCGGAAAAAGAACCAGCGACCGCCCTTCCGTTTCTCAACATCATCACGCGTGTGTTCCATCGGCCTGTTGATGTATATGCTGCGATTGACAATGAGTTCGATCTTCAAGATGCGCAAGATGGCGCAAAAGCATACACCGCAATCGCCAGTCTACCGCCAGTATTGAGCATAGCCCTGGACCGAGTGTCATGGAACAACGAGACAAAACGTCAGGAAAAGTTGAATTATCACGTCGACGTTCCAGAGACCATCTACATGGATCGATACCTGGAAAGTCCACCAGGCTCTGACCTAATGCAAAGACGGCTGCAGACGTGGGAGATTAAGAAGGAATTAGCATTACTCATCGCTCGGAGAGATCAGCTGGAAGAAAAATATGTAAGATAACACGTCCTTCCCTACATGGGTTCGAATAGATTGTCGACTGACATTATGCGCAGGGCAAATCCACAGATGTCCCTGGGCTTCTCGAAGACGCAAAGGGTATCTTGGAATACTTGGCCGAAATACCTGGTGATCAAATATCGGCCGAGCTCAATGTGAATCCAAACGCCATCGCTACCCTCGGTATTCTAGCCGAAAATGCCCGTTCTGAGCTCGAAGGTAAGAAATATCCTTTCCACTTGGTTTCAAATTTGACGACGAGAGTACTAACCTCATCTTCCTCAACAATACAGAAATCCGCTCTCGGATATCTCGCCTGTCTCAGCAAATTAAAGAATCCTTTGTCGACATGCGCAAACACCCATACCGCCTCCACGCCGCATTCTTCCACCGCGGTTCCGCTGGTGGAGGCCACTACTGGGTGTACATATTCGACCACAAGAAAGAGATATGGCGGAAATACAACGACGACCGTGTCTCCACTGTCACAAATCTCAACGAGATCTTCGGCAATCCGTACGCACAAACTCAAACCCAAGGTCAACAGCTGCCAGCAAGCAGCAGTAGCTTGAATCCGCCCCCGAACCCGTACCTTTTGATCTACTTGGACGCAGATCGGATTGATGAGCTAGCGGAAACGGTGAAGCGGGAAATTGTGAATCCGCCACCTGATGCGGCCCCCGTTGCCTCGGAACGAAAAGATCATCCTCAAAGTCAGATGACAGCCATGCCGCCCGCTAAGGAACTAGGCAATGGTGGTGACGTGGAGATGCTGGAGTATGCCAATGGTGGTGAGCAGGCCCAACCCTCACAGTCAGAGTCTTCCGCCGTCCTCGACAGGCCCCCGCCCAGGGAGCCGAGCGTGCGGAAGGAAGGAAATTGGGATAATAGCCAGCTGATTATGGATAGGGAGATCAACTGGTAGAGCCAATGGTCTAGAGGATGCGTGGTGGAACTTGCAGCCGCTGCTGTGACGAAAACGTCCGATGGAAGCTCCTGAGCATCAGCCGCTGGAAAAGCAACGATGACTTCACAGCATGTGGAACGGGGAAGGAACCAGGTAGAGAGCAACGGCAAGGGACAAGGGAAAAAGAGCATTAGCGCCCAGCATAGCTAGATCCAGGACACAAGAGGGTTTGTAACTAATGTAACTCGACCCGGCGTTAATGAGAATGTTTAGCACGCACATTTTGCCATAACCATCTTGGTTGGTTGCGTTGTAGCGTGGCGATTCGTTCTTTGACCGGCCCAGATATAAGTGGTCAAAATCGAATGGACTTGTTATTTACAAGCTCGGAAGCTCATGCTTATACCCATGCCTATGTCATGTCTGTAGCATCTTCCGGGCAAGCGTATCCTTGGCCCAGGCGTTAACGAGGACGAGGAACATGCGGTCTTGTGGTTGTACACGCGTCGATCATGTTTTATGCTCCGGGAACGTCGAGTTACCTTAGGCGAGTGGCTTGCCCGCCATTGCATCGGACTTGATGTCGACGCTTCCTTCTTTTTGCATCTTCCCATGCAATCGGTGCTCACTAGCAGCCTGTCGTTACAGTTATGATACGTGGTTGAGCACAACATAACCATCAAAGGTCCCCGAGCTTGTGTGTCCTATGTACTTCTCGCGGTGATCGGGTCGTCGTGTGCTCCTCTACGGTCAACGAAGCTTCGATGTGACCTAAACAAGGTATGCTTCGTTTGGACCTTCACGTCGATCCAGCAGTGACCTAGGTGGGCGGGACCCCGGCGTCAGCCTCAAGGTGTTGTTCACGGATCGAGTTCACCTACCTCCACCAGTTGTGGATGACCTCGATCTGCCTCTGGTTGCCACTGATTAATCTCGAGTTTTGGGGGTCTGCGTGGTCGATGAAGGACGCGTTGCTAAGATACGTAAGTCAGCGACAATTGTAACTGCGCTCAACACACAAAAAACCGGAGATCTTACGCTCTGTTGTCGTAGACCAGCTCGAGCTGGCTGTTGCCAGCTGCCTGCCGTTGCTGATTTATCGCTGCGAGAAACCGCGTGAGGACCACCTTCTTCGGCATGGTCGAGGGCGGCGGAAACGGATCTTTCGGTAGCCGCGTCGCGAATGTTAAACTGCCACGATTTGCATTGCCACGACTTTCAATCCTTGGCTTCAGGAACTGTTCGTCGCTGTCGGAAGTATCAAATTGCTGTTTTGCACTGGCGATGCGTGCACTGCGGCAAGGGGCGGCACGACCTTTGATCTTGAGCCCTTCTGGCCGTAAACCACGATTGGCGGTTTCCTTTTCCCTTTGCTTAGTACTCGGCTCGAGAGTCAAGTTGACAATCTGTTCGGGAGCAAGCAATTTCAGGGACCACCTTGTTGCTGCGCCTTTGTTCACTCGGGGACAATCGCCTACTAAATGAGACGTGCTTGCGCATATACAGCAAGAAATCCAGAGCTTGGTAGGGCCACTGTCTGACGGGCCGTAAGAAGGTAAAAATCGCTGGGGGCATGCTTGCTCCAGATGGCCTGAGGTTCCACAGATATCACAAGGTATCGTGGTGACCTTCAAGCCCGTGGGGCAAGACTTAGCAGTGTGTCCGCGATCACGGCATGTCGAGCATCGCTGGAGCAGAGGGCAAAGACGGCTAGAGTGCTGAGCAGAGCAATGAATGCATGTCACTTCGGGACAGTTCGACTCGGTATGTCCGCTTTGGAGACAACTCAGGCAAACAGCAGGCTGATTGAGATCAATGTCTTCGTGATTAACGTGGAAGAAAGCGTATTTCAGTTGAAGCTCGAGCTTGTCTGGGCTCAGATCTGCAAGACATGGGCCTGATTGTACTCGGGCGTCGGCCGCTGTGGAATGGGTTGGGAGTTTGCCGGAGACAGTGCTGAAAAAACTTTCGAGATCGCCCTGTAACTGGTCGTGAGTATCCCGTCCGGTAGAAGAGAGGGGTTGAGTTGTCTCTCTTGTAGACGTTTCAGACTCAGTATCTCCCTCATCCCCTTCATCCCTCTCTGATTGTGTAAATGTTTCTTCTTCTTTTTCTTCTTCTTCTTCCTCGTCTTCTTCGCCTTCTTCGCCTTCTTGCTCCTCTTCCTTCCCGTCATCATCAAGATCCATATCATCAGAGAACGAGTGATGTTGGGTACGGTCAATGTTAATGACCATACCCCCGTCGTCGGACTCTTCTTGTTCATCGTCAGAAATCTCGATAGCATCATCTCTGGATTCTCCTGAGGTTGTTTCAGGGTCGAATGGACCATCACCCTCGCTTGGACTGGATTGCGACTTATGAGAAGCGGCCGGAGGAGGTGCTGTGTGGAACCCGGTAGCCAGTCTGTTGTTGCCAAAGGCAGCCGAGGCGGAGCTCGCAATTCCGACAGCCTCACCGGTTGACGACCCAAGCTCTTCTGGTTTCTCTCGACTTGACGGCCCCACGTCCTGCGAAGCCGTGTTGCCCATAGTGGAAGAATGCGAGGCGATTGAAGAATCAGTTGAAGGAAAAGGTACGGAGTTGACTTGACCTTTTTGTCTCGCTTCGCGACTCAAACCAACAGCAGCGATTCTCGACTCACCCTCATCGTCTGAAGATGCGAGTCCGGACATCTGAATTGGGAACGACATCATTTAAGTAGAGGCAGGAACGCGTGCGGAACTCGCGTTTTGCGAAGCCTGGAGGTCGCCATTCAGAACGAAGATGCGAATCGCAGTCTCGCATGCAAACAGTACTCAATACCGCGTAAAGGGAAAGTACACCGGACAGAACCGGTCAAGCGGTCCACTAATCCAGAACTGACTAGTGTACTCGGTAATCGGGATTAACCCCGTTGACCCCCTTAATGTCACGCAGCCTTTCGGAGTAAACACTATGCATTTCTACCTCTATGCTTCTTCCCTTCATGTTTCATAATTCACATCTTTATCCCCTCAGATGCAGACAGAGGGGATCCGCGCAATCACACAGCTTCGAACTTAGTCGCACATGAAATCATTGGTGGTTGCGGTGAGAACAGCGCGTAACTTATGCAATCCCACGGCGGGGGAGTCTTCACACTAACATCCACACTTCCATCCATGCGCTTATGCCCACATTCGCTTGAACTTCTGATTGAACTCAGCTTGGAGCATGGTAAACGCCTTCAAAACCTTCCATGACAGGTCACCTCCAGGCTCCGACACCTCGCTCTCAGCTTTCACCTCCTTCTGCAGTTTCTTCTTATCAACTGCATGACGCTTCTTCTCCATTTTGGCTGCTTTGACCGCCTCACCGATGGTTTCAGGAACCGCGCCGTTGGTTCCGGCCATATCGTCGCTCATATCCTCATCCCAGCTATCAGCCGTCTTTTTCTTCCTGGGACGAGATGTCGCTGTGGCAGTGGCCGAGTCTTTCTTTATCATCTCGCGACTCGGCAGCACCCGAGAATTGGGAACGCTCTTATTGCCCAAGTCACCCTCCAGAACTCTGTCATCAAGTTCTGACTCGTGCATATCACCGCAGCCCATGATGTCCGACATCTCGTTTCCAGTCGATAGGGAGAGCTTCAGAAAGTTCTCTAGACTAGTCACAATAGTCGCGAGGACAAGCGAGAAGTCATCGAGTACAAACCAGATGTCTCCTGTACGGATGCCATTCTCCTTCTCGAGGGCAACCACGTTGCCGTGTTTGAAGAAGTCGTAGAGGTATGCGTTCAAGAGTGCAGTGCTCTCGTTTGGATAGGTTCCCACGCAGGGAACTGCAGCCTCCTCTAGACTGCGAACCGTCTTGCAAAGGTCGGACACAGTCTTCCACTCGTCTCTATGGCGTGAAAGGGCAATGAAAGCAGAATTAACGCGCACAGGGGGGAGAGCAGATATCGACAATCCAATCTCGTGTAATGGTTTGTCTCCGCCGCATTTCATCCCAGTGAGGGGCAGATCGTGGTCAACTTCTTTGACGTGTTGGTCGATGTAAGGTGACACATACGCGGCATAAGTGTCTAGCGTTTGATCGTTGTGGTCCAACAGGATGCTCGCTTCTCGTTTTGGCGGAGGGGGGAGGACGACCACCGATGACGACCACCGTGTTCCCGCGCCGAGCGACTCCAAAACAGACTGTCTCAGATACTGGCGTCCGAAGAGGTGCGACATGACAAGCATCAGAGCGAGCAGAACTTGCTTAGGTCTGATAAGAATGTCTCCACAAAGCTTCTTAAGATATCCACTTTTGAGCAACGCGTGGAAGGCAAAGCTTGCATTTCCAGTGGAATACAAGTGAGACGCGCAACCTGTGAAATTAAGAGGGGCACCCGAAGCATCCAACATGTGGTTGCGGAGAAGATATTCGATAGAGAACCACAGATGATGCGGGACAGTATACTTCGACTCTGGGCCATCCAGATAGATGCGGGGGCATGAGAGGATCGAATTGATTGCCTTAACAGCATATGCTGCGTGTTTCGATTCATGCAGCAAGTTGAAAAGCCGCAACACCAGGTCAGTCGTGATTGGAAAGTGACCGTTCAGGTTTGGGAGCCTTGAGTTGAGCAGGCGGCAGACCTTTGAATACGATACTCCCTGGAAGACTACATTTCCCGAGACATGAAGCCCTTGACGTCTGGCTCGACCGGCCGCCTGGCGAAAGTTGAGAGTCGTCAGGAAAATCGAGTCTCCTGAGAAGACGACGGTCTTGCAGGGCATGTTGGCACCCAGGGCCAGCGCACCAGTGGCTATCACTACACGCAAGTACCCCTTGCGGAATAAAATCTCGCACACTTGACGATATTTGCGGTTCATTCCTGCGTGATGCACACCGACGCCTCGCTTCAGAGCGTCGATCAGCCAGTCAGACACAGAATGTGCCTCGAGCTCATCAACGTACTGCTGAAACTCCAAAGGAGTGAGTTTCTGCGCGTTTGCAAGATGGAATCCATCAACCGGATCGTTTGGATCGAAAGATTCATAATGCTTGACTCTTCCGATCCAACTTGTCGTACTCGCTCGGTCCTGGTCGTGGGCTCGTCGTCGGCATTTCTCTTCTTGGTCTTCTTGGGCACTTTCTTCCTAGCCTGTTTTCCCTGGTTCTGCTTCCAGCCTTCCCACTTATCGATTTTGGACTTCCGAGCTTTGCTGGATTCTTTCCAGCGAGCTTCTGCGTCCTGCAACTCCCCCAGGAGACGTTTACCGACACGCTCACACGCATCCCGGTCGAAATTGAAGAATAATGCTGGAAGAGCTCCTTCGTCATGAAGCGAACAAATAAGCAGGAGCGTGGTGTCGAAGCAGTCTGCGTCCCGAACCAAACGTGGAGGCTCGCTCTCGTTCAGTTTACCCGAGGATATCTGTAACTCTGGTCGCTGTGCGCTCCTTGCGGATTGCTCCAGTTCTGTGAACACCATTTCAAAAGGTGATTTGTGATCGTCAACCAAAACCTCCAGAAGTGCCTTCAGCTTGGCTTCCCACTCGATAATGTCGACTTGGCGTAGGATTGGCGGTAGACATTTGGAAGGGTCTAGTTGTTCATCAAGGGGAATGCATCTGTTTGATGCTTCATCATGGCATTCCACAGCGTCCAGCAATCTCGCGGTTCGAGAGTCAAACCATCGGGTATCCCTCTCGAGCGATCGACTAAGCTTGCTACCGGAAGCATGAAACTTATCCCGGTGGCATTATCAACCCCAACAGAAGGCAAATCCGAACAAACCGACAAACCCCTTCAACAGGAGCTTTGTTCGTGGATCATAGACACACTTTCGTAGATCTGAGTAGCGGTGCCGATGCTCTATCATCTCGACTCGGATACCGTTGTTCTCCTGAGTCTTGCTGAGCCAGGCATTGAATTCTCTTGGATTGCCGACTGTGGCAGAAAGTGCGATGATAGGACAAGGAGCAAGAAGAAGTAACTGTTCCCACACAACCCCGTCATCGGCCTGGCCAATGCAGTGAATCTCGTCAAATATGATGCATTTGACCCGAGAAGACCAGTCGGTCGCGTTCGACGGAGCAAGAAGCATGATCTGGAGCATGTGAGGAACCGTGACCAAAACCTGACACCCAGTAGGGTTGTTGACGCGGTGGTCGCGTGTGTTTATGGCCCAGACTGACTTTCCGGTTACTTGAACGATTTGGAGAATCGAGCCTGTACCTCAGCGGCAATCTGATTCACAAGCGCTTTAGTCGGGGCAACGTAGACCAGTACTTCGTCGTCCTCCTCCTCCTCGAGGACCTGCTTCATGGCATAAAATGAAATAAATGTCTTTCCCGCACTAGTTGGAGCGACCACAAAGACACTATTCTTCCTATCGATTTGGTCCAGGACGTCCCGCTGTCACTTGTCTGGCTCAAAGTCACGCACACGAGGATCCGGTACCGAGCCCACGTCACGATCAAAGAATGGCCCAGCATGGACAAACTGGAATTCCAGGGGCGATGGTTGAATATCCAAACCTGCATTCTTAGACCTCAACTCGACGAATTTGAAGTAGGGACTCCGTTGTTCTTTGACTGGAATTGATTCCAAGGCTGGCAAACGAAAGGGCTCGACCGTATTGGCAATGCAAGTTGCAATTTCGACAGTGATCCCTTGGTCCAGCTTTTTAATGTGGAGCATCTGATTCCAAACGAGCCCCATAATCGGCATGGCACGGTCCCGGTCTTCAGACGTACAATGCTTTGTCCACATCTCAACCAAAACGCTGAGCAGGTACGACGACACCTCAGCTTCCACTGCAACTCGCTTCTTCGTTGTCAGCCTGTTCAGATAGTTCTTGACCATTACAACGCGAGACGTGAGGTGTCGCTTTTTAGCAAACTCGGTTCTCTTGGAATTCCATACTTCGATCTGCTTGGCAATATCCTTCTCCTTCTCCAGGGTGGCTGCTGCGGCTTAGTCTTTGACCATGGGTTTCAAGCTCTGATTCTTTCCGGCCCGAGCAGGAGTTTTCTGAGCCTTAGACTTTATGGAAACACCATTCGTCCCTACTGAATCCACTTCTTCCTTCTGCACTCGACTTCGGGATGACGTTACGATGACTGTTTCCGGCTCTAAAAGACCTCTAACAGCGTTAGTCAAGCTTGCAGCGTAGTTCCTCGTCTCGGTCATAAACAACTGATTACACCAATTAGCACGCGCCTTCTGCCATTCCGTCATTCCAATAACGGCCTTGTTGTCGATGGGGTGCCGGTGGTTGTGCCAGTGGCTGAGCTCTTTGAAGATTCGTGACGTGGCCTCGTCGCTGACAGACACATCTATGGCCTGTTGAATGGGACTTAGGTGAGCATTAAACACGGGATTGCTGATCGTCGAGATCTCGTATCCATTCGTCGACATGTTCGACTCTTTTATTCGGCACGTGCGTGGCTTTGTGTTGAAGCGAGCGTTTTGCGTGGTGATAGTGACTTGAGGCCGAGTTTTCTGGATCTCTAACTCGAACTGTAAGTTGACGCTGCAAGTGTCATCCAAGAGGGATGTGAGAGCTCTGAATGATGAGAGCAGTGAGGGACCAAGGGCGTGTTGAGCACCGGGCTCCTGAAGCTCGGACACAGTGTTGAGAAATAGTCTCCCATCAAGCAGATCGGCTAGGTCACAGGGTCGTTTTAAAAGGAGCACACTTTCTCGCCAGGGACCTGACACAAGGATATCACGGGCCGTGTTGACAAAATCCGTCAGGAACCTCATGTTTGTAGCAAGCCTTTGGAGTCGAAGGCTCGATCACAGAGACGACAGTCCTGCATCAATATGACGTGCAAGAGCATTGCACAAGCTTCTAGCACAGAAGAGGAACCAATTTTGCCAGATCTGAACATGAGACTCAATGTCGAGACTATCAGCAACACCCGCTGGGTCAGAGCTGATCCTGGTATGCGCTCTAGAATTTTCAACGTGTCTACTCGAGCCTCTGTTTGCGACGTGTCGAAATTCGCTTCGTTGGTGTTCGAGTTCTTCATTGTGTTGGGAACGGGATCATCAATTTCAATTCCAGTTTCTTAGTTTTCGATAGTATCGCAAGCATCGTCTTTGAACAGAGTGTCCACAAAGGAGGGGCGAACCAACTCACCTTTGTATCTCGGTATTCTACAAGGTGATAAGAGCAATATTATAGCCATGTCCAATGAACCAGTGCATCATTGACCGCATTGCCACCTTCCGAGAATAATCAAGTCGAGGCTCTTTGAAGCTATCTTTCTCGGTTATGCCTCCACCGTGTCCAGAAACGCTGATTGTATCGCGGCTCGCTTGCGATTCGGAAGGGGTTGAGGTGTCACCATCATCGTCTTTTGGAGAGTCATCGTCTTTGTCATGAATGTCCGATAGTGGGGAAAGACCCGTCATGACACATAAAGAAGTATGCTCCTGTTGATGCTAGATACTCCTCAAAATCAGGAGACCAATACGAGTCAAAGACTTTGACTTCTATATATGGGACAGCCAGAGGGAGGTTACAGCTGAAGTATTTATGAAATGAAGTGTAAAAGTGTATTGGACCATTCTAGATCTATGTGGTCGGGGAGGCTGCTTTTATAGCCATAATTACTAGCGTCTTGGCGTATTTCACATATTGAATAACTGCTTCTCGCGCAAGGAGATACCTAGTGCGAAGGTGAGCTGTGGTATTCCGCGGAACGCACATACACGCATTTTTGGAGAAGAATACGACATGGAATTTGCACTTCCGCTGGAGAACAGCCCGAAGGAAGTTCTCCACGGTGTAGGTCGCATGGAACAATTGAAAGCCGATAGAAAAGTCGATTTTTTCGTCCGAGAAGGAGTGAAGAAGCAGTGAGTCTCTTTCAGTGATGAAAAGTTCGTCACCCGCGTAGTCTCCGACGAGGTCTACAGTACGAGAGTACAAATCATTGTACCTATGGTAGATTAACAGACAATATAGGAGGACACGGAAATCTGCTGGGCTAAAGACTTCCCACTCTAGTAGGACTTGGTAGCTGACCATCTTGGAACGATGAGAAGGCAAGAGGCAATAGCAGAGAGGAAGATAGTTTCTGCAAAAGTCGCAAGTTAGTTATGAGACAGGAAGAAATGGCCTTCCCGAAGCGGGAGAACGCATCTCTTCTCAGTCGTCAAGCTCACATATCTGAACAGCATTTAGTTCTTTTGTGAACCGCGAGAAGATGAAAGTGTGTGCTTTAATCCCTAAAAGCACTACTATTCACAATGTTCAGCAGAATATTTTCCTTCTTTGAAGGATAGTAGGTACTCTATCTTCTCAACATTGAACAGGAGGAGGCACGCGGCAGCATATGTATTTGCGGTAACAATGTGTGGTTTCGACCTGATCGGACTGAGGCTAGTATATTTCTTGGCGTGGGTGAACACCCACACATTGCTACCAGTTATCCAATCACACAGCGGCTAAGCAGCATATAAATTACAAGGCTCGGAGCGGGCCGGAGGAAGCCTATTTGCCGTATTGCCCGCAGCCTGCCCGTAGTTAGTTTTTTCCATGCGTAGAACTGCTCGATCGCAGAACGATGTGTCCAAATTCAGCTGTCCAGCGTGATGAAGAGAGAAGAGGTGAGGCAAAAAGAGGCAACCTGAATACACAAGCTGACTTCACGGGGTTGCTGCGGCACTCGGGAGCCGGTACATGCACTGGATCGTTCATCGAGACGATCTGGTGGGCATGGACGACACTTGCCAGCGGGATTGAAGTGAGGTGTCCGCATGATGCGAACATGTTAGCCACTGAGGCAACTAGCCTCGTATATTGTCTGTGTTTTTGGCACTTGCTCATGCCATGTATCCAGTGGGCTAACCCACGCTACCTTGGTACATTGGACAACTTGTCGCAAGTAGGCTTTAAAAACATGGGAGTATTCACTAGTTAGTGCGCTGCCTTGAGGGAGTAGTTATCGCCAGGCCACTCCGCCTGTAACTTGCTCACGGAGAGCAAATAGGCAGCCTTGCTCGTAGAGCCAGACAATGTCCAGAGTTGCCTCAACCGTGTGGTTAGTGTCACAAAGGACTGTGGTGACAGGGGCATGCTGAGGACGGATTTGGTCCGAAGCATATCTGCGGATGAACTTATCAATTAGAACGAGACCGATGTGCACACCCTTGCTCTTCTGTTGCTTGGGCTGCTTTCCTTTTGACCTGCGTTTTGTATATCTCGTGACGAGGACGCATCTTAGTTTTGAACCTGGATTTCTATCCAACTTCCACGATGGACAGCAAGGGGAGCATAATTTGTTTCCAATATATCAATTCTGGGACATGCCGGTTTGGATTGACATGCAAGTTGGCCCATATCGAGCATAGGACAGGTGATCGCTCCAAGGTATTTTACTCTATATCCTCCTATGACTACCCCTGTATCTCCTCCGAGGTATTATCTCCTCATTTACTAAGTCAAACGCCCAATTGTCTGTCAATCAAAGTTCAAAAAGCACTTGGAACGGTCCAGAACACAAACGTCGAGGATAACCACAAACCAGAGACACCATCGGTAATTTCTTCCCGCAGTATATTTGAACGATGATATTGTGTGACGTCTGTGAAGGAAAGAAGATACTGAAGCTGTAGACGGTTTAAATACCCTGGAGGGTCACGCTGCCTCGTGATCACCATTGTCACCGCCCTCATCACCAGGTATTGAATCTAACTAGTATCCTGGCTTTGACCATGATCCGTCAGCAGTAATATGGATCGAATTCAATCACATGTGTCATGACTTTGGGTGGCACAACAGCAATGACGAAATGCGGGAGGCGAAGCAGAAGTTCAAATTAGCAATGGTCCAGCAGTCTAATAACTTTGTGGAAAGGAGACGATGACTTGAATTCGTGGCAGAATCTGTGTCATATCGTGAACATTGTCCCATGCTGACCGGCTTGCAGGACTGCCGAAAGGTGACGTATTGTCTGGTTCTACCCAGTATTCTTCAATGCTCGTGTGGGGGTAGTTGTCGCTGACCTTTCACAGCGAGTTCGTCAAAACCTCGTGGACCTAATGGACGCTCCGCGAACAGGAACGCGGGTGAAGGTGTTCGTAAATTTGAAGCAGTTGCAAGACTATACTGTAACAGAGCACTTCAGGGTTCGGCGTGCACGTACAACAACGCACAGAGGCCTGTCCAGCAGGTCAGGAATCAAGAACGCGTTTCTGGTTGACACTGACAAGACAACAGCACCACCAACGCCACCCAGAGAGGCAGCGGCTAGGGCAACGAACGCCTAGCACGACGGCGGCATTGAGGAGCTGAACAAGACTGATAAAACACTCAGGAATTAGGTAGACGGCACCAAGAAGCCATGGAATTCATGATGCTCTCCTCAAACTGTAAAGAATGGCACACTGCCAGCACTGTAAACTGTTTCGCACTCCCCTACCAGCTCATTTTTGGTTTGACATGTGACTAGACAAATCTCCCCCCTTCTACCACTCTACCAGCCCTGCACAGCACAGCCACTTTGCCTTGTTACAATACAATCGAAAATGGTATTTTCCAAAGAAGGACGCATACGCTGTTGGCTTGCTCCGATTCTTGCTTCGAGATGTCCTGAACGAGGAGAAGAAGGGGATTGCAACTTATGGCCAAAAAAATGTCCCAGAGGGCTCTTGAAGCCATTGTTTTCAGAGGTGAGCCTGAACAAAGACCGAATTCAGATATCTGAGTTGACAGAGGGCCAATTGATGATCTCGCAGGTTATGTGAAAGCTCCTTTAATTCGACGAGATATACCGGATTTGGTAGTTGAAGTCGGTTGGTTTTTCTCGATACATTCTAAGTTGGGTGGTAGGCACTGACGTGTTACCAGCTGCGGCAAATTCTCACGATACTATTGTTTCCACTCGCAAACTAACGCTGTAATTCGAAGGGAGCCAACAAGAACTGTTATATCTTTTGCCCAAACGTCACTCATGTCAACACATGGCTGACAATCCTGCACCACCTCCACAATGGTCTTTGTCCTCTGGCATCGTCATGGCTCCATCAAGGAACTCTTTATTGCTTCTCATTTTTTTTCACCTTCTGTTGCTTTGACTTCAGACAGCGAAAGAGATATTCCAACATCGATGAGGTGGTTTGGGCGTGCACTCGTAACGCTCTTGTAATGTGATGGTTATCAGGAAAAGGTTACTAAAAGACGAGACGCAGCCGCCAACGCGTCGAGTCCGGAAATCTATTACCTAGTCAACATTCAGGCAAAGGGGCACGATCAGACCTGGATAAGCTCAGTTTCACCGCGGCTATGAAAAGGGGGCAGAAGAGCTGCCCTGAGTTGACAAAGGGGCAGACGAAAGCTAAGAATATAAAGACTCAGTCCCACAGTAGTTGGAGTAGGGCAGGTGTCCCAATCGAAGACATGTGGTGCGCATGGTACAATCAAAGTAAACGAAGGTGGTGAGCTGGGAAGCTGGATTATCCATACCTGCCAAGACCGACGACCAAGACGAGGTAGAAGGCGCGGGACTAGCATACCGCCCATATTCTACCAAGTAGATTTGGGGGCGAGGGGGCATCTTGGGGGCATCTTGGGGGCATCTCGGAAAGGGTCGCGTGTGCTCAGCCTAGCAGCCTGCGCATGACTATTTTACTTTGGGGAGTCGCTTGCCACTGAGCTTGCTGGGCCCATCGACCGGTTTATGCACCATCCTTTGTGCCATCTGGTGCCATCTCTTCAACTAAAGCCGATCTCTCAAGATCCCCCTTCCCACCGCCCTACCGCCATCACCAATTCCCCATCCGCCGAGCCGCCAGAGCTACGCTTGCTGCCTCCCCATTAATATCCGATTTGAGACCTCGTCCACTCCGAACACCGTGCGCGTCTCACTACATACCGAGTGCTCCTTCTGCCTCTGTGTATCCGGATCTTATACACTCTGCACTCACGCTGTCTGGAGTCTCTCAACTTGAATTGAAAATCTTGTGTCATATATTTCACCTCACCACACCGCACTCCGGGCTGTTGGCGAACTTCACACCCCGAACGCGATTGATCCGGCTGCAATCCCCCGAGGATCACTTCAGGTACGGACGAACCTGACGCCACTCTCCTCGCTCGGAAGAATAACCTTGCGTTGCTGACCACATGCTGGCCTTTCTTCAGTTGACACCTCACGATATCTCTCTCATAGCTCCCGATTTAACCCTCCCAAAATACCTTTCTCTCGTTTGCAACCACGCCCGCAATTTTCGATGACCTCTCAAACTACCCTCCACCGCTCCATCTCCTTCGAAGCCAATGCAAGACTGGCCCCTCCCGTGTCGTCGTACGATCCAGCCATGAGCACGACAAAGGGTGGGAGGAGGAGGAGATCTAGCAGTATCATATATCAAGAACCTCCAGAGTCAGAAGAACAGATCAGCGACCAGTCAGCCCTCCCCAACCTCAACTCCCAGTGGGTTAACGCAAAAGGTGCGCCAAGACGAGATAACCACAGCCTGACATAGAGAGACCACGAGGGACTAATCCAACATGATTTACAGGAGCCTGGACGATACACCCTGTGCTGATAATCGGCCTCAAGATTCTCTTCGACATAATCCCCGGCGTCACCCAAGAGATATCGTGGACTCTCACAAACATAACCTACATGGCTGGGTCGTACCTGATGTTCCACTGGGTTCGAGGTGTGCCCTTCGAATTCAACGCTGGAGCATACGACAACCTCAACATGTGGGAGCAGATCGACAACGGTGACCAATACACCCCCGCCAAAAAATTCCTTCTCACCGTACCCATTGTCCTGTTTCTCTTGAGTACGCACTATACACACTACGACTTCACGTACTTTACCATCAACTTCATGGCCCTGATGGCAGTGGTGATACCTAAACTGCCACAATTCCATCGTGTGAGGATTGGGCTCTTTTCAGAGCCCCCGGATGAGTGAAGCTCTTTATTTGACACATTCTCTAGGTCGGTGACCTTCATCTGGTAAATTGAAGGGCGAGGCGATGCCGGCCCGAGGGATGGTCCTGCTCCCTTGTCTTTTCTAGACCATGTGTTTTCTTCTCGCTTGTCTTAAACTGTCTTTTTGGGAATCACAAAACGGGGGATACCGTGATCTTTGTATTACCGACGGGGTTCATGCTATCGAAAAACGCTCCCGTCTCTCTCTCTCTCTCTCACACACACACACACACACACACAGAGAGAGAGAGAGAGAGAGAGAGAGAGAGAGAGAGAACAGTTGGCGGATAGGGTGGGCACCTGGTAACAGAAAGTGGGAAGGAAAATGTATCAGGCTGAGGCCTGGGGTGAGAAAGGGAACGTCCGATTGAGAAAACTGGAAGTCTTGCTCGTGCTTCGTGCTTCGGATGCCTCAAAGACTAAGCGAGTGCACAGGGAATGGATGGGATCAGGAAATCAATGTCATGCTACTTGTCCCCAAATCAATGATATCCGCCTTTTCGGCCCAGGTCATCACAGTGTGGAGATGATTAGTATTTCATTTTCTGTTCTCGCTTTTCAGCCCTAGCGATTGCTTTGCGATGGTGTCATTTCCCAACAGCGGCCCCCGTCCAACCCCATTCTGCCCTGTTTTAAAAACCTGACCCCTTGCGCCAGTACCCATAAGTATTTCTCAGCCTAATACTTGTCATTCAACGCCCCCTCCCGCTTCTCCCCTCTCAGCTCAAGGCTCGTGCAAACTCACGTGACCCGTTTGTTACTTATGCTTGCTGTGCGAGCCAGGTTGGTGGGTATATAGGCAAATATTCCGTGTACATGTAGGTGGGTGGGTAAGGCGGGTAGGGCGTGCACGCTGAATCTGGCATGACGATCGACCTGTATTGCAACTCATTAATGACGAAGAGGAGGGGAAATCGTGCCTGAAGTCTTCCCATCGCATCAGCCACCTATTAGGTACATATGAAGGTGCCGTCTCGGACAGTGGATAGTGCTCTGCGAAAACGTCGCCTCCAGGTATCCTGGCAGGGTTGTCCAGATGACCTCCTCGAGCAGACGGGCAGTTGGCACAGCGGTGGCAGTGCGGGTGCCGGTACTGTTCTTTCCATGCCTCCAGACTGCGGGTTCACCAAGCTCTCACGACTCAGCTAGTTGCTAGAAGGTCTTGCTTAGCAGATTGTTGGAGGCAGGATGATACAGCGCTCTCGGTGATCATGTGGAAGAGAGTCACTGTGACAGCTAGCTTGGCGAGCTGGAGGCGAAAAGTGAGTGCGGACTGCGCTGCAGTGGGCGTGCATCGCCGCGTTCATCAGAGGCCCGATGCTCAGGACATGCTTAAAGTGCGTGGGCCGCCATAAGCAGCCTCTTCGCGTACTCTGTTACCGTGGCGGTGGGCATCTTCCTGCTCTCCCTTCTCTTCTTCATCTGCATATCTATAATCAGCAGCTGTTTCTGACAGATATAGGTGGAGGACGTGAGTTGAAACTTGCCAGCATCAACAACTTGGTCCAGCAGTCCAGCTTCAAGTGCTCCCCCAGTAAAGGGCTATCAAGAGTGGGACATGGTGGATTGGAGGTGCAGAGCTTTCGCTAAGGGGTGATTCTTGGTAATCGTGTAGCCGTCCTTTTCTTTCAATATCTCGTGGTAGTCATCATCCAAAGAGCGAGGTCCAATCCGGTGTTCAGCTGGCATGTAGACCTTAGGGATACGGCGTCGGGTCTTGATCAATACATAGTGTTCGGACCCGCTGGCTTTTTGCCGGAGCGAGTTGGATCACTCAGGCCGGTTGTATCCTGACTGTCTGTGGTCGACTTCGGTCCTGTTTGAGCTCCAAGCCGACGACGGGCTGTCTCTTTATTATAAACAGGATATCCATCTTGCCCGCACCTATGTCCAGGTCGACAGTGCAGTTGATTTCGTTGCGTATCCAGTTTTTCTCAGGAATTTCTTCGAGTCATACTACGCCCTAAGCCTATAGGCGTGAGCATCGCTGGAACAAACTCATCCATCTTAAAGTCCAATGGCGGGCACAAATTCACGTTTCTCTAGAAATTCAGCATTGACAGCGATAGAGATTTTGTCGAGGCACGTTTAGTCCATCTCTATGCTTGCACAACAACGCGGACGATGGACGACAAGGTCTCAGGAGCAACGGGACCCTAAGTCCCATGGGGACAGGAGCCACACAGGTAATCACATGGGCTTCTGGGCAACGTAGAGACCAGATTTATACCCGTGTATCCGAGGTGTTTTCCAACCGCATTGAGCACCATAGCAGGTTTGGTGGCATTGGTGCTTCTTCCAGCATTGGACTATGCTTGCCTTGGCTTGCCCATGCCCGCTACTCGATGAGGCTGACGACAGAGTGTGAGAGTATTCCAGAGGAAGCAAACATGCCGAGAACAAGATGGCATTCTGATTTGCAGTCTACCATACATAATTCTCATATCTCACCTCCTCAAACCGCGATAACAAGATGGGCCAACCACTCTCAAGCGACCCACCGATGCGAGCCTAGCGGGATCTTATTAGAGCAACCCGAGCAGGGTTTCTTCTCCCAGGCCAATACCCTGATCGTATCGCGGTCCTGGGCGTTATTCCAATCCCGAGGTTTTCTCAGGATGAAAAGGTAAAAGGCAGATGTTGCAACCTGTTGCAAGGACTCAATGCCCAATTTGTGAGCTAGGACCGCCATCTGGAGCAATGGCCATTTCGTTGCGGAGGACAAATGCCTTCCGCCCTTAGGCAGCATGACTCCGGGAAGCCGCCCTTCAGAAGACATGTTGCAGTCTCCACGACGACCTTCTCGAGGCGATCAAGGGAGATCGTTCCGACGGTGCTGTTTCGAGGCTCCCGCTCGGCGGCCTTCAGCATCATGGTTCTCACTTGTACCATTTGGAGCAGGAACACTTCTCAATGCGGAATGTAGCAGACAAGTACGACGCAGAACTCGCTGGGGAGAGCAGGTAGAGGTAAACACTTAGTTGTGCGCACAATACTCATTCATTTAGAAGTTTTGCAAACTTTTTGCTGGGACCTTTGAACAGGCCAAATGGATGACAGGTCATATCCACTGCTGTGGCATAACAGGACTCGAGTTCTTGGGTACCTGAGGAAGGCCGAAGTCGAAGGAACGCGGGCTCGGAAATGTCTTGTTTTGCTCAAGACACCGAAGAGCTTGGTCTCTCTCTTCTTTGACGGACCGCAGCTCATTCGACTGCTCTTCATGATCAGTCTTTTGTACTTTGCGCTTGAAGGTTATTTTTCGCTTCCTTCGGCAACACCAGACGAGAAGACTAACGATTAGGGCCAAACCTGCCATAGAGCCGATGACGCTTCCAGCAATCGTTGCTGGAGGTGTAGGCGTAGAGTTTGCTGCAGTGGACGCAGTTGGTTTTGGACACTTGCTGGACGTTGCGCCGGCGGTGATGTTGGCGCTTGAGCTGGGAGTCGCAGGGACAAGATGTATGGTCATGGTAGTGCCTGGTGCCATAGTTGCCTTGGTGGTGTTGGAGATTGAAATTGGGATTAAACGAGAGGGAATGGAGGACGCTTGTAAACTAGACGGCATCGAGGAAGTACCAACAGGGCTAGGAATCAAGCTGCTTTGCTTGGCAGGGTTCACATCCAGCTCACCTGTCGTCGTGCCAGAGGAGCTTGTCGCGGTGTTGATAGTACTGGTAGCAGCCCCCTGAAGGATTGTTTGGGTCACAGTAACAGTAATTCCCGTTCCACACGAGACGGAGCTGGAATCAGAAGGAGTGTCTTCGCAAACACCTGAGCTGCAAGGATCGCGGGTGCAACAGCCAGAGTATGAGACCGACGAACAACGATAGTAAGTCTGATTTTCAGGGCACGTTGAGGCATCTCTGTGCCAGAACGAAAACATCGTGGTACGGGGTAGAAATGACAACCTCATGTGGATGAAGAGAGGCAGACGTTGTTGGTGCTGGAGCAGGGCAAGAGACAGAGTTGTTGTTCGGCTCGTGTCCACGTTTCAGAGATAAAAGGGGAGTTCTCATTGATATCCGTAGGGCCACGATCGGAATAGTCGTGGCTATCTTTGTTGTCGCAATTCGAGGGAAAAATACTACGCGATAATAATCGTAGACAAAGAAACTCCAAATATAGCGGACAACTGAAATAACTCAACTAACAAACCTTCAATGCACGACACAATGCCTTTTTTCTGCCATTTTTGAGAACCACGGCGTCGATCAAAGATGTTGCGATTTCCAAAATTCCGAAGGTAGAGCTGGTACCTCCTTTCCCATGAAGTCGCCTCAGAATCGTGTTCGAGGGTTCCGCACTTCGATATTGCAAGGCTTGCCTCAAAGGCACTAGTAGTTCTGGTGAAGATGAACGCAGGAAGTCGCTTCTGCTCTTTTCAATTTCGCATTGAGGAGGCCTGTTGAGTCGTCTTGGACCCTTTCTAGACCCTGTATCCCTTACATGTCAGAACGTTTCAAAACGTTAAAGGAAGATGGATTCCAAAAACACGCCTGACTGCAAGGAATGAACTAACCCCGGCGAGAAACTAGAACAGACGCGTGGAGTGAATCAAACATAACACGCGTGGAAGGAAGCTTCTGCCAACCAGTCACTCCTGTGCAAACTGCTCAGCCACACCAGTCGACTTCCTCCACCGAGCAACTCGGGTTAACATATCGCCACCTGTTGTGTAATTATTTCGATAGCCAAAGGCCTGCACTTTCGGGATCGTGATTCAGCCGTTAACACCAGCTTTGGGCTAGACCTGGACACTCCACAGGGTGGATAATCATGATAGAGTACCGAGTAGTAGTGGACGCGTTGCGGTAAAGATCTCAGCCCCAAAAGGGCCCCTTGGCCAAAGAAGGCAAAAGGAATCAGTCGAAAAGCTCAGCGAATATCCACACCACCAAGCAACCATGTCCGCCACTTCTACAGAGCCACAGGTACCTGTTGTACCTTGTAATCCCCTGCATGGGAAGATGTGCAATCCGATCTGAGGCGGTTTTCTGTCCTGGGGTCTGGTCGACGAGTGGAGCCCAGCACCGGAAACGGGAAAGCATTGTCGGGAGTTTGATTGCCCCGGCTGCAGTGGCCATTCGACGAGATTCGCGATTGCCCACCACCAGCAAAGACATGGAAAAGCAAGAGCATGAAAAACAACGGGTTCCGCTCAAAGCTTCTCAGAACAGAGCCTAGCCAAATTATCCAAGGCGGTTGTAGCCTCGATTCTTGAACAGGAAAGATGGCTGGAGTGATTTTTACGAAAAGATTCAGCGAACCAAGAAGACTTCTCGTACCTGGAACTGGGCAGGCGGGGACTTTGGACCATCTCAAGGTGACTCCAGCCACATAGGATCGGTGCTCTTACTAGCTTGGGTGGATTCTTTGACAGACTACTCGGTACGAGGTACCTGTACAAGTAGACTTATCCAAATAGGCAGCTGCAAAGGCTAGCGAGGGTCAGGTCCGGGCACAATCTTGAGTGGACCAGGGCATTTCCAGGTTCTTGCACGGAAAAGAAATGCATCTGTCCAGGAAGGGTTGACTTTGAGGCGAAAGACGGGCCATCGAGATGCCAAGGGGTTCTGATATTGAGCGATGGTGCGAAGTACAGCCAGCCGATGTTTTGGTCGGATGTGAGGCGGTGATGCCTGTGCAATGACGGTAACACAGTGACACCTTTGCCTATCAGCTATGCCCAAAAAGGGGATTTTCAAGACGCCGGCCACTTTTGACAGGTTGCACAGGAGAATTCTGGCCAAGCTCGAGGTGTGGGGAACCAAGATGATCGAAATGGTCGGCAACGCAGTTTGCCATGGGTCGGAAGAAATGGAGAGTTGTGTCCCACTCGCCTATCTCGGGTCCCACTTTGTGAGAAATCCATCATGACTGAGATTCGCTATGCACAGGTACATGTGGTGTGCTCCCAACCGCCAGGTGTTTCTCCATGGCGAAGAGTCTGCTTTGGCCCGAATTTGAGTCAATTGTGGAAAGGGCAAGCTTCAGCCATTCGTCCAGTTGACTAGAATTCTGCTCTGAACAGCCCCTGCATAGCGCTGTTCGCGCAAGGGAACGGCAACATGTGGCTCGTGATTCGAGAGGAAGACGATGCCGGTTCGTATTGACATGTGGATTGAAGTCCGACTCGGCGAACCAGGAACGGCGGGGAAAGGTGGCCACAAGCTCTCTCGCTTTCTCTCGCTCTTTCGTTGTGTCAACCACCAATCCACCTCGTGCCGTGTTCTTGGTTCAAATGCTGCGTCCCCGTTCTCTCCCATGTTCCGGTGGTCAATAGCTCTGAGAAGCACCACCAGGGGACGATCAGAGAGTGGAGAGAGAAAGACACGAGGTCATGGCCCCGTGGGGCGAGCATGGCGAGTACCTACTTACCGTACTTACTTAGCTCTCGGGTCTGCGTGGTGTGGATGCATGGTTGGACGTACCGGCACCTATGGCGTGTGATTGGCTTCCGGACTGCAGGGGGCTTGCATTAGTGAGAGCTAGCTTAGCGAGTGGATGCACGATGCCGATGCAATCGAGCCGATCTCTTTTGCTGATGGTTATACACGATACCTAATGGCCACCTAATGGCCACCTAATGGGCACGTTATGGCCACACATGGGCTCAGATGCCCCTCGTCTTCCCCGATCTGGACTTTGTGAACTACTCCCGTTAACTAGGGAAACCCCTTGCGCCTTTCCCGGCACTCCACAGCAACAACCTCCCTCCCTTGCTGCTACCACCATTACCATTTCGCCATGCGGCCATTTCGAAACATCTTGTCCCTCAGCCCCCCTGGGAGTATCAACAAAGACCTGTCGAACACGAAGCTTCACAGCATGTCTTTGCCTGCCGTGGTGTCGTGTCTCCCTCATGCTCATTCGCTAGAATCTTGTTCGGGAGCGGGGCCCGCCCCTCGAGACTCTCAATGCATCTACGTTTTCTTTTAGCAGGGCAGGTATGACACCTAGAACATAAACAGGCTTTGCGCCCGCCTGCCTGTCTGTACTCTGACAGGACGACACAACCAGAGACTTCCCTCGTCTTTGCAGAGCACGACCTTGACTTTGATTTGGGTCGTTCCTCTCGCTCACCCACTTCTCTCTTGATTCAAACCGACTATTCTAGTACTGCGCACTTAGCCTCCTTCTGCTCTCGAAACCCACTGCCCAGGAAATACCTTCTGTCTCCTTCTGAACACGTTGAGCCCTCGGCCAAAGATTCCAGCATACCTGGGCAACTATAACCTCGTCTTCTACCACGTGTGCATTGACCTGTCCGCGGTATACTCTGTGTCACCTTTCCCATATCACGCCTGGGTTTCCATCCTTGAAGACTTGTACGTCGTTGTCTGTCAGAGACATCACCTACATCAGCCAATATGGTTCTCTCACTATCCTACCGCCGCCCGGCCTATGTTACCTCCTCGCGCGATTCGGTTGAGTCCGAGAAAGGCGGTCGAGTCGAGTCCATCAATTCCAACTCCAGCTGTCCTTATGGCATCCCCGACGCCCTCTCCTTCGACAGAATCATCAGTGGCGGAACATGTCCTGTAAGCTACATGCCTGGAATCGATCGACCCTTGACGGCAGACTTCCTTAGCTGACCTATTTTTGGGCGTAGCCTGTGACCACACGTCAATTCATGGATTTCCTCCGTTACATCGAATATGACGCCGAGAATCTCCAATTCTATTTGTGGTATCATGACTATTGCAAGCGCTTCGATGGGCTCCCCGACAGCGAGAAAAAGCTTTCCCCCGAATGGAATGTGGATCAAGCATTGGCGGAGAAGACGAATGCTGAAAAGGAGAAGCTCCCAAAGAAAATGGCAAGCGCCGCTGCTGCGGCGGTGTTGAAGGGTACCGATTTCGACCCTCATGCCAAACTCGCTGCTCCAGACGCCGGTCCAAATCCGTTCAGCACCCCTCCCAGGACTCCCTCGGCCACAGCCACGGATCACGACAGCATGGCCCCATCCACCGTCGGCTACAGCGAGGATGCAACAACCCTTAGAGCGGGAACCATTGATCACGGCAAAAGAGCCAAGGCGGCATTCGAGGAAACTGGGAACCTCCAGCCTTGTACGTGGTTAAGTTTCCGTGTTTGCTTCTTCGCGCTAATCAGAAGTCAGTTACTATCCAACCTTTCCGGGAGGAGATCTCACGCATCATCGCGATCTACATAGCTGACGGTGGGGCGAGATTGCTCAATTTGTCGGCTAAGGAGAAAGCCGTCTTGCTGAAGGCACTTTCTGTGACTACTCATCCTTCGGCATTCCGCGATGTCATTGCCACGGTCGAATGGACTCTCCGTCATCAGGCTCATCCCAACTTCATCCGCTGGACCATTTGCAACGGCAACAAGCCGAGGCAAGCCTTTGCGCGGTTCCTGGGCGTAGCTGGAATCGTCGGCGGGATTGTCTACGCAATCGTCATCACTCTCAGTTCAGTCAGTCGTGGTTGGAGGGCTTTGGCCTTCCTTGGCCTCTTTATCGGC